AGTTGGGAGAGCCTGGGGAGCATGGCAGGGTTTGGGGGTAGGGGTGGGTATTGGCCAACAACTCAAACTCGCCTTGAGACCAGGCCACCCCCTCTCGGGCCAGGCCAGCACAGGACCTGGTGACTGGCCGCTCGGAGCTGTCTGTAACTTCAGAGTAAACAGGAGGACAGGGGCTCCACTCAGACTCACCTGTTCTCCAGAACAAACTCCACCTCCAGCTCTTGTGAATCCTAATGGAGGGAGCAAGGAAGCACCAGTTTTCAAAGAGCTCCGAAAGCCTCGGGGAGTGTCCCTACCCCCAGCCCAGGGACTAGAAGAGGAGCCGGGTGTGGCTTCTCTGAGACAGGAAAGATTCTGGCATCTCCATGAGAAGCTTCGTCCAGTGAACACTGTGCGAATGCTGTTCTAGACGCTGAGGATTCAGCAATGATCGAGATAAAGTGCTCTGCTCTCAAGGAGCTCACACGTAGATTCTACTCAGGGAAGAACTATTTGAGGGACCCTCCAGTAGGATCAGTGGTGCAGGATGGAGGGTCTGTCTTGGAGACCTGGTCTCTGCTGACAGACGGGGCGTCCTCTCCCTGAGCTCAGCTCACTGCTGGCACAGGTGGGGCAGCTCACCTGTTGGTTGAGGCGGAAGGTGTGCTTGTGGGGTTGGCCGGGCTTGAGGCTCTTCAGGTCAAACAGCAGCAGGGAGAGTTCATTGCTGCCCAGGACGTCCTTGTCATAGAGGGTGAGCTCCAGGACATTCTGGATTCAGGGCAGGCGGGGCGTGGGAGCCTGAGGGAGGGCAGGCACACCGAAGGAGCCCCCTACCCCCACCCCACCCCCCCACCCGCTACCCCGGCCACTCGCCGGCTCTCACCTTCACGGCGCCATGGATCTGGTAGTGGAAGGTCTCGTTCCACTCGGGGTCACTGCAGTTGTCTATCACCTTTGTCTGGGCGCGGGCGGGAGATGCCGTGGGCAGCCACAGCTGCACGTAGCAGTCGGCTTTGGACACTGCGGGGATGGGGAGGGAGTCCTAGCTTCAAGTTCTTACTGCTGAAGAGGTGGCCTGGAGGAGGCTGGCAGAGCCAGGAGAGGAGGCTGCCAAGGTGGCAGGGTGGGGTGGGAGATGGAGGGAGAGCCCTCATCCTTGACTCCACAGTTACACCTCTCATCCACCCGAATGGAAGCCTGCCATGGCCAGTTGGAAAGCTCACATGGCAGCACAGACCACTGCACAGTTAATTCCCAGGAAGGACTTGATTCCGGTGACAAACTCCCCTGCCAGGGTGAGTGTTCACCTGGAGCAGGTGTCACACACTCCCAGGCTGTCACCACTCTACTTGCTAGGCTCAGGGAGGAGTCAGGGTCTGCACAGTGCTCCCCTCCAGCTCCTGCCTGCCAGCTCTGGGGCAGTGGCCTGAGCTCCCTCACCTCCCTCCATCGTCAGCAACAGCCCTCTGCCCACTCCACACACACACACACACACACACACACACACACACACACACACACACACCCTCCCTTCAGGCCAGCCCCTGCTGAGCTCTGCAGAGGCCTCGGGGAAAGGAGGAGGAGAAAAGGTGGAATGGAAGGTCACTCACGCAGGTCTTTGCCCTGGATATTCCTGGCCCTCAGCACCTTCACCTGGAGGTCATAGTAGGGGTGGGTTTCCCGCTGAAACAACAGAACTCGGGGACTCAGTTCCAAGGAGCCAGGTGTGGGACTTGACCTCCCTTAAGGCTGCTGTTTGCCTCTCCTCACAGAGCAGCTGCTTGGCCCAGGATCATGGGAAGGCCATGGCAGGGTGGGCACTGGAGGTTCAACATGTCGGTAACAAGCCTGGACCTTGGAATCAGTCAGGCTGGCTTCAAATCTAAGCTCCACCATGGACTAGCTGGATGGCCTTAGGCAAGTTGTTAATTTCTGTACGCTTCAGGTCTCCCATGTATATAATGAGGGGTTATGATGGTTATCTCATAGGGTTGTGGTGAGTTTTCAATAAGAAGTCATGTAAAGTGCTGGCCTGAGTGCTTAATACCTGTAGCCAGTTTTGCTAATTATTAGTGATCATGCACTACACACCTGCACTCCCCTCAGACCACAGCGCCGTTGCTGTAGCTGGAGAGGTGCATGAGGTGCTTAAGGAGATTGAGTATTAGAAGAAACTGTGATCAATCCCACCCACCAGCTCCCTGGCAAAGGCTGAATGGCCTAGGACCGTGGTCGGCAAACTGCGGCTCTCGAGCCACATGCGGCTCTTTGGCCCCTTGAGCGTGGCTCTTCCACAAAATACTACGGCCTGGGTATTTTGAAGGAGTGGTGTTAGAAGTTTAAGTTTTAAAAATTTGGCTCTCAAAAGAAGTTTCAATCATTGAACTGTTGATACTTGGCTCTGTTGACTAATGAGTTTGCCGACCACTGGCCTAGGAGGCTGGGCAGGCGAAGGGAAACCAAAAATCACACGGCTGGTGCAGGTCAGATGAGTTGCTAAGGAGACCGCAGCTTGGGCTCAGGAGAGAGAGCAACAGACTGCAACTCCTTGGAGTGAGTCTGTCTCCTCAAAACCCAACAGCCAGAGGAGGGCATTCTGGGCAAAACCCAGCCAAAGTGTCACATGTCCTAGCCCTTCATTCCTAATTGAGGGAATTATTTTCAAGAGCCAAGGTCTTGACCAACCTCTCTAATTTAAACTCCCCCAGGCTGTCTGGAGCAAATTGGTCTCACCCAGATCAAAGCCCAGTCACTGGGCTGGCCTGTCCTCACAGGGGACTGCACTCCTAGGACCCCTCCAGCCCACACTTCCCAGGGAAGAGCAGGTACTTTACCCGGCAGTGGCTCCATTGAGGCTCCATCTTCTCTCTTTTTTGCAGCAACACCACCCCCAGGAGAGGCAGCCCCTTGCTTGCGACCTGCCTTGGCCAGCGCGCCCAGAGCATAGCCAGGCAGCCCACTTCCCAGCCAAGAAGCCTCCCAGACCCACCCTCCTGGCTTCTGCTGGCTCAGGTCGGTCAGGTAGCACTGGGGTGGGGAGGGCCCTGGGGCTGGAGGCGGGGTTTGACAGGCTCCAGGAAGTGCCCAATTTAGGCGGGAGGCAATCTGGTTCCCAATCCAAACCCTGGTTTGGTTATCACTGGGCTGTTTATGTAAAATAATACCTGAGCCCCACCCCACCACTCCCCAGGATTTGATTTGATCAGGGAACAGCTGCCAGAGGGTGCTGCGCCAGGAGGCCAGGCCCCTCTATCAGAGAAAACCTAAAACCAACATCTTTCAAGTTCCTGGTTCAGTGTTTCATTCACTCCAAGGTGTTTCTAATCTCTCCTGGCCTCCCTCATAGTTCTCCAAAGAGAGGTTGCTCAATGCAGGACCTGCACCACGCCTTAGAACCCAAGGTACGGAGGGCCCACCCATATCCTGAAGACATTGACAATCTCATGACTCCCTGTGGCTTCTGCCCAGGCTCTCTTCCTGGGTCGGTGGAAATACCGAGCAGGTCCAGGTTAGAGGAAGGGCAGGTAAAAAGCAGGCCTGCCAGTCCTTAAACTACCGGAGGTGAAGGCTTTAAGTCCTCTGTGGACCAACATAACCCTTAGGCTGCAGGGATGTGTGATAGCCCCTTTTCTGTGGGCCTGGACCATCCAGGTGGCCAAGAAAGGCACAGCTCCAGGAGACAGCACCTCTGGGCAGGGAGCTGTTGGAAGAGACATGTCTGTTCCTCAACCCAGACCCAGTCATCTCCATCCACTCCTCTCCCCACAGCCGAGATGGAGGAGGCGGGGACTGAGAAAAACAAACACCTAAACCGGTGATTCAACTTTAAAACAAACCCTGTAGGCAAACTCTGACCAAAAACTCCCAGGACCTCAAGGGGAGGGACTGTTTCTAATCACTTTGGAGCCTGAAGCCAAGACCTGTGCTGGGGTCTCAGGAATGCTGGAGCCCAGCCCCCCTGGTGACATGTAGGGCAGCAGGTAGAAGGTCCCGGTCCACAGAGGAGCCTGGGGGGTAGGGTGGGGTGTGTGTGTGTGTGTGTGTGTGTGTGTGTGTGTGTGAAGCAAGCCGGCCTGGTGCTCAGAGTGCTTTCTGGGCTGTACCACTCTTCGGGGTTCATCTGGCCATGCCTCAGCCAAACTATGCCTCTTAGATGTTTTTCATTCCCAGAGAAAGCTCGGAATGGCCACAGAAGGCTCAAGTGGGGGAATAAAGGATCAAATGGCCTTTTGGAACTGATCCAAGTGGACCAACACGTCTCCACTTCTCAAACATCATTAGATCTGTCCATCCTACCAATTTTATAGCTCCCATGGCCTTCCCAGTCATTCTGAGCTGCAGGAAGCATGAAGCCCCTGGTTCCAGTGTGTCCAGCAGACTTGATGCTGGAAACGTTCCCCATCGGTGGTGTTGATCCATCTGCTGCTCTGCGGTGCTGGACAGCACAGATCGAGACACCCAACAGATGGGTTACTTCTTCCACGGTCACTAATGGGCTTACTCTTCTCAACTCTTAGCTAAATTATGATCTCCATTATTCTCATCAAACTTCACAGGAAGGAGGGAAGGGGGAGAAGGAGACCCAAATAGGCTTGGTTAGTTACTTTAAGATGTTTATTATGTGAGACCTTCATCGGTCCTCACTACAGAGCTTTCACCGCCAGCCTTTCCCACCCCTCCTCCGCAGAGGGCACAGTCCAGGGAAGGAAGACTGGAATCCGGGAAAACTGGTCCATTTAAGTATCCAGCAGGGGAGAAAACACACATTCTTTGTTCTAGTGCTTCACACAGAAGTGCCACAGGGAGCGGGAGTGGCAGACAGAACAGCAGACTGGAGGCGGGCCGCGTGGTGCGAGTTTCTGCCGCGCAGTGGAGGGCGGCCCGCCGATGCCACGGCTGCTCCTGGGAGCCAACGGCCAGGGCAGCACGGCTTCCCGCGGGCGGGTGCGGCCAGTAGGGACGGTGGCTCTTGTGAAGTGCTGCTCGGCCTCCAAAACGCGAGCAGAATCCCCCATCTCTGTGAAGGTGTCACCGGCACTCGCTGTTCCTTCGGACCCTCCACAGAGCACGTGCTGGGAGAAGCCTGGTCTACACCACCAGTCAGTCAGTCTGCAGCACAGGCCCGAACAGCACAGTGGCAAAGGATAGACGGGGGTGAGTGCTGGGCCCCGTCGCTCACTCTCACTGCCATTTCAGACACCGCAAGACCCCAGGAGGACAGGGTGCAGAACCCTCTCCCGAGTGTCCTCCGCCTGCAGTGCGAGACACTCCCGGTGCCTCTGGGAGTCAGGATCTGGTGGTGAGGTGCCCTCTGCAGCACTCCCGCAGTCCCCGAGCGCCTCACAAGTATGTCTGACACCTCGTCGCTGTCGGAGCCCGACCGGGTCATTCCTGTGTGTACCTGCGACGTCCCAGTGCAGCCCTCCGACGGCACAGCAGCTGGAGAACGGCGGCCAGGCCAGGCTGAAAGGGGTCCCGCCGCTGGAAAGAGAGAGGCGCCCGAGCACGGAGCGCTCACTCGCGAAGACTAAACTAACCTGCCTGGTGGCTGGAGGGTGAAACAGCAGCAGGAGCCTCGGCCGGGGGCAGCCTAAGAGGTCATCCACCCCGGGCGGTGCTGTCTGTCCTTAGAGCTACCGCCACACTCGGCCCTCGGGGAGGTGCACAGGCCTTTCTCGGCCGAGAACGATGCGCTGCTCAGCTTCCAGGCAGAGCGTGCAGGCCAAGGAGGATCCGTTCACTACACACCTGACCGTCAACCATCAAGGAAGCCCTGGAGAGTGGACTTCCCCTGGCTTCTCACTCCGCCTTGCTTACGCATGCTATTCCTGGAGTGGGAAAGTGGGCAGGAGAGGGGAGCAGGGAGGGGGACACAAAAGGAGCCTGGGGATGAAGACGGGAGTGGGCGGCTCCTGGGGGCACGGCGCGGTGACCTGGAGGAGGAGTGTGTGGCCCTGGCGGGCGAGGGGCTCTGGTTTGCTCTCTTCTCAGGACTCCGTCAGCCGCGCTAAGGGCTCCTTGTGAAGTCCTGCGTGCAGCTTGATAGGAACCTGAATAAACACCGGGGCTGCAAAAGCCGGAGGCAGTTCCCTGACTCAGGTGACCGGTATGCAGAGGCAAGTCGGTGCCCATCACCTCCTCCTCCTGTCCAAGCAGGTGTTGAGTTCTCTGGAACTGCCTGCAACGTCCTGGTTTACAAAGTTTATCTAATCTTTTTCTATTAAAAAGCTGGCGACACCAGACCACAGGCCTGATTAATTCAGAGATGCTCCAGGGCGCAAGGGAGCCGATAGTGTCCAAGCGGGAGACACCTGCGGGGGCGGCAGCCCGATTCCTCAGGCGGCGCCTGCTTCCCTCTCGGGGTGGCCAAGCTGTCCATCTGCTGGGTCCTGGGCACGTGTGCTCAGGTGTCCGCCGGGTTTACCTCTTTGGAACAGAAGTAGTGCACGACCACGCCATTGGGGTATCTCGCAAACGCGCTGCAGGGAAGACAAATGCCTACAGAGACCGCCTCTTACCGAGGGCGGCACTCACCCGGGAGCCGTCCCAGCAGCAGCCCTCCCTCCCCACAAAGAGCAGCCTGCCCCGCTGTCTCTGGATTTACATAGCTATCGTCTCTGTCCAATAACTGAACAGAGGATGAGGTTCACGGAGTTCGAGGTTCTTGTTAATCATCAACGTGAAACATGAGTGAATAGGCCCGCGCGCCGGCCTGGCTTGGCCTGGGCTTACTGAGAGGCAACGATGCTCTTCAGAACAAGTCAGGCTAATTCTAACAAGGGACAGAGTTAGGTCTTTATTTAAAAAAAGAATTCTTCCATGTAAGAAAAAGGACAAATAACTCTCCTTTGAGGAAAAAGGGGAACTGACTGGAGTATATGCCTTAAAACAGTATGATCCTGGCTCAAGATTTTACTCAAATCATGAGGCAGCAGGCTGAAAGGTCTTTTTCTTCCTTCAAAGGTGCATCCCTAAAAGATAATCCCTCCTCCCCGTATACAACTCTCACTCACCCACTGGCTACACCCCAGTTTCTAGCTGCCAGAGGGGAAGGACTTTATGGGCAAGAATGCACATTCCAGGTTTTTAAATTCTCAAAGCTCACTCCTGACAGCAAGGGCTGTCCTCTCGGGCCTCAGGAGCTACCGTGCCGGACGGTCAGCATCCGCGCTTTCCCCTCGGGCCAGAGGGCAGAGCGTGCCCACGCCGAGCAGACCCCGCCGAGGTGCCGCAGGCTCACCTGTTCCCAATCTTCTTCTTACACACCATGCACACCTTCTCCTCCGTGATGATGCACTTCACCTGCTGGTGTAAAATCCGCTCTTCCTGGACCTGGGAGGGCAGAGAGAGTGGGGAGGGTCCCAGGGTCTGCCCGCAAAGGCTCCTCCACTTGGAACACTTGGTCATAGCTGTGTTAAAGGAACAGAGGTCTGCTTCTGTCTAGAGGAATACGCGGTAACTGTCTCGTAACAGAAAGTATTGTACTAGCCCACCCTCGGGTTTGCCAGGCTCATACCCGCAGGAACTCTGCATGGAGAAGGTTCTTGAGCACTTGATTGAACCGTTTCTTTTGCGCATTTTCTTCCAAGACTTTCTCCAGGAAGATGCGTATCTCATTAATCTGAGTATTCGCCGGCAGAAGGTTGAGGGCCTAGGATGGGAACAGATGGGAAAGAGTGGGACTGAGGGGATGGCTGAAGCCCCAGAGCTGGAGAATCCCAGGCCGGTTCCCCACCCCTTTTCCATCAGTGTTCCCTGCAAGCGCCCTCCCTCCAGAGAAGACTGACCTTGGTGGTGTCCAGTTTGCTGTGGTGCAGCTCGAGGACCTGCAGGGCAGCCTGGAGGTTGGCCTGGGGCTCCAGCAGCTCCAGCTTGATGGGCCCCAGGCAGTGAACGCTGGGGGGCGACAGGTACATCCGGAGCAGGGACAGATACACCTGTCTCACACAGGACAGGCACGCAGGTCAGGCTGGCAGCAACCCCAGAACGCCCCATAAGGATGGTCTACAGCAGTGGTCGGCAAACTCATTAGGCAACAGAGCCAAATATCAACAATACAACAACTGGAATTTCTTTTGATATCCGAAAACCAGCTTCTGCGCATGGACCACTAAGTTTCAATTGCACGTGGTATTTTGTGGAAGAGCCACACTCAAGGGGCCAAAGAGCTGCATGTGGCTCGTGAGCCGCAGTTTGCCGACCACCGATCTACAGTAACAGCTGTAATGGAGCACTTAAAAAGCTCGTCATTGTCACCTTTTAAAAGATTTTGGTAAAGTCAGAGTCAACTGAAGGTATAAACATTTAAGGATTGTGGCTTCCCTTGTTTGTTAACCACTGTCAGAACGTCATTTCCTTTGGCTTTGAAAGCCGAGACCCTGTCATGTTTTGGGTCTAAGGATTAAACCAAGATAAGATCTGCACTTCCCACTGGCACCAGTGCCACAGGACTTATCAACTCAGCACTTAACATCTGGGCCAGATGATTCTTCGCTGGGCTGTCCCATTTAACAGCAACCCCGGCCTCTACCTCCTAGATTCCAGAGCATCCCTCTTCCCCCACTCCTGGCAATGAAAGATGTCTCCAGCCATTGACAAGTCCCCTGTGCAATCTCGACAGAGCACATCTGATGCTCCTTCTCAACAGGCTGACCACAGTGTTTATAATACAAGTCAGGACTCTCGAGATTAAAGGGGTGAGGATGCAACTCATTATCACATGGATGACAACAGATGGAAGCCAGAGCTATGCCAGGCAAACCAGGACATGGGCACTCCGCCAATCCCCGAAGATGTACAGGCAAATCCAGTCGGTGCCCTGCCTCATGCCATCCTGTCTTAGCAGTTCACACTGCGTTCCCTCAGCCAAACCAGAGGACGTTCGGAAGGCCGCGGGGGGCAGTGGAAGGCACTCGTGCTCTCTAGGACCAGGTGAAGTCACTACTTACATCTTTGTTGCCATCTTTGTTCTGGTCATAATGCTTGTGGCAGTACCTGCAGAGGAGAAAATGCTGAGACAAGGCCGGAGGGGCCGCGCTTAGGGAAAGGCCATGGATGCCGCCCGCACGAGCAGCCCCAGGGCAGCCACACCGAGAGGCCAGCACGGGTGGCTCTCCCTCCTGCGGCCGAGCGGAGGGGTGGCGGCTCTCTCAGCCTCTCACGCCCCCCGCCTCTCTGGGGGACCTGCTTTCCAGACCCCTGGGGAGCTGGGACGACAGGGCCAGCATACTCCTCGGCCATCCTGGTGTCCTGCAGGACGTGGACGTAGATGGAGAGGGCCTGCTCGTGTCTCCCCATGCGCCCCAGCAGAAGCGCACGCTCTTCCAGGAGGCCTGTGGGGAGAGGGACGAGGGAACCGTTACCGCCACGAGGCGGGCCCAGGGCCGGGGCTGACTGCTGGAGGGATGGACACTGGAGAAACCTAGACTGGGAGAGGATATGTTTTATTATTTGGGATTTGGAGCTACTTTAGAAGGGACTCTGTCCCGCCTTTTTGTGAGCACTTACGCATCGAGCGGCTCTGCAGTGTGCTAGGCTCTTCCAAGAAGGGGAACAAACACCTGTCTCTGTTCTCGCGGAGCTTACACATCAGACGGGCATGTCTTTTTTTTTTTTAGACAGATTATGCCAAATTACAACAATTGCTAAATAATGAATGTGGGCAAGAACGTGTGCTGAAGCAAATAGACAGGTTTGAACCTGGCTATCAATTAGCATGTGGCTCACAGCCCGAGAGGCTCCTCAGTCGCAGTACAAGAGCGATCCTCAGGAGGAACAGGGCGGAGGCACTCGCATACACGCATGGCTATTCCCAGGCCCAGCTTGTTAAGAGGCTTGGGGAGCCGGCAAAGAAATAGGTCGGTTTCTGCACTTCCGTCAGCTGAAGCAGCTTCTGGACCCATCCCGACCCTCACCGTCAAAAGGAAAATCACAGATGAGCCGGCCTGGGTCATAGTAGCTGGAAATTTCCAAGAACATAAGGAGCTTCCGTCGATATTCTCCCAGCTCACCCTCTTCCTCTCCAGCGGGAACTGGAGTTTGGCCTTTAAGGGAAACAAAGCTCAAGCTGAAAGGATGCTGCTGGGGGGAGGGGGAGTCGAGAAAAACGAGGGGCTGGGGTTTAATGACGTCACCACAAGCATCAGAAAGGGCCTCCAGAGCGGTTTCCAGTTGGCGTCTCTAGTTTATGGTCTCTACATGGGCCCGAAACATCAGCTTGAGGTAGAAAAACAAACACACACACACACACACACACACACACACACACACACAAAAAAAAAAAAAAAACACCCAACTGCCTAGGAAACACTCTGGTGGGCAAACCTGTTTCTTATCTTGAAGACAGATTGTTCCATCCCCTCCCCCCGGGGAGATGCCAAGAGTCTCCCCAGAATGCCGAGTCTCACATGCGGGGTCACTCAGCTGCCCTGGCTCCTCTGAGGAACTTCCTGCCACCGGGGGCCGGGAGAGAAGTCTGCCTCCCTGTCACACACAGCATCCTGGCCCGGCTTCCCCTGTGGCCAGCGGCCCCGTGACTTTCTACGAGAACCGATACCTGCAGGGAAGGCCAGCAGATACTCCTTCATCAGCCCCTGCACCTTCTCACAGTACAGCTGGATCAGGCAGTTGTGGAACCGCGAGCCCGTCTCCTCCCAAACGTGGATGATGTGCTCCTGCAGCGAGACGCAGGCCTGCCTGTACCCTCCGCACCCTGACCAGCCCGGCCACCCAGGCTCCCTCACACGTTAAGGCCCAACAGGTCCCATCCAGACTGTTTCCTAATTACGCTGCAAAGGCTCCCGAGGGACAGCTCTGCTGAAACCACTGGGAAATTTCATGATACAACCCAGCAACACTGGGAATTCTTTTCTTGATTTCCAATCTAAGTTCCTTTATTAATTTTGTCTCATATTCCTCCACATCAGCCCATGGAATTATGGTTTAATATCTGCATCCTGGTACTTCCAACTGATTTCATCGTCCTGTGGCCACTGTGAGTTGGGTTGTGCAAACGTGGCTTTGAAATGTTTTTCTCGAACATCCATCTCTTTTATTCCTCTATACTTCACCCAGGTTTAGAAAGTATCGGTGAAAAGTGATACTTTTCCATCTTCGGCCACTGCAATCTCTCTGCAGAGCATGTTGAAAATACCCTCTTCTGTCCATTTCTATTAGTCCCCATGTGACACAAACTGCAATCGGAATCATCTAAGAGCTGACTCAGGAGGCCTAGTTCCTGGGTTTGAAAGCTTTTCAGTTCAGACCAAACAATATCTTACCAGATAAGGAATAGCCAGGCCCTTGAAATTCTCTACCAGGAAGCGGAGCACTCGGTCCCGGGGCAGAGACTCCACCTCCGGGAGGTCTTCGGTGAATATCTGTTAACACAATCCCGAGTTGCAGCAGCCGAACCAGCTGACCGCAATGCAGCCAAACGTGCGGGCTCACAGGACGGACTTCTGGGGTGGGGGCGGGGAATGTGCAAGGCTCTGTCGCCAGGCAGTGTGACAGCCTTGGCAGGTCTCCTGGTGCCTGTGCAAAGCTGTTCCCACTACCCCACACTGACACCTCACGTTTCCCAGTCCGCTCTTCTGAACATAAGAGAAACTGCACGAATCCTTCCTCCTTCTCCAACCACTCATCTCCAAGCAGAATCAGGACCGACTGTGGTGCCAAATGAATCCAAAGACCCTTCAAACCTACCTTCAGGCCATCCTCTGGGAAGTCTCTCAGCACCCACACTGAGTAGGAAAAAATCAAATGCAGGTTTTCTGTGCCTGGAGAAAAGTTAAGACTTGTCAGCTGGTAAAGCCTACCCTGCTCGCAGGACTGGGAAGGCAGGTGCCCAGGTTATCCCAGGATTTAATTTCTGGAGCAGAGAGCTCTGCCCAAGCACCAGTCACTCAGGGCTGCTTGGGGGCTGGCTACGTTCCCAGCTATCCTGGGTCCCCCACAGGGGGCTTTCCCCGCAGCTGGCGGAGCAAGGAGGGAGGGGACTGCCCAGCTGGATTCAGAGATGGAGGGAGGTCAGGTCTGTCTGCACACTTCCCGACTCCCGTTTCAGAAGCTGGACGTACCGAGATGCTGCAGATACTGCACCGTCCTCTCGTGGCCTTTCAGCGGCGAGTTTGCCTTCTTGGACTGGTCCACCAGCACCTGCAGGGCTGGCCACGAAGCCCAAGAACAAGGTCACGGGCCTCCTCCACGGCTCATCCCACAGACTCATCCCACCGGCCTGCCCTCCCAGCCTCGGCCACCTTTCTCATGGAGCCCCTTCTTCTCATACAGGATGATGAGCTCGCTGTACTTGTGGGCCTTCTTCAGCACATGCTCGCTCTCTTCGATGTGGCAGTGGTTGTTCTCCAGGCGCAGCAGGGGGGCCACCAGGGCCACGTTCGTCTGCAGAGGAGGCGGGACTTCAGCGGAAGTGCTTCCAGGAGACCCCGCCCATCCCCAGCCAGGCCTGCTTCCGGCAGAAAGGCCAGGGATTTAACAAAAGCAGAGACGGCGAACAACCCTTTGTCAGGACTACAGGGAGTGGCTTTTATAGCACTATAATCTCTCACGTGTTTTAACGGTTGGGGGTGGGGGGATAGGGAGGAAGGAGATATTTCCTTTGAGGGAACACTGTTCACACCACACCACTAACCCCAATCTTACCAGAGAAGACCAGCCTGCTATGGCCAATATCTTGACTTAAACCTTTAATTTCAAGAAGCTCACAGGCATCAAGGCAAAGACTAGGTGGTTCCCATCATCGAACACTTGGCTCTTGCTAACAGCAGGTGCCCCCCAGGTGGCCCTTTTCCGGCCTCGGCAGGCTGGGGATTGTGGGTGCCCGCCTGCTCCAGGGACTCACATGGAGGTAGCACTTGAGCAGGGTGGTGTCGATGATCTGCAGCAGCTTCTTCTTGGATTTGATGGTGGGCGTGCCCTCCATGAGCGGGGAAGTGCTAGACTGGTGATCAGAGTCATTCAGTTTCTTTACCAACTGGCTCCGTTTCTGCAAAGGCCAAAAATGTGGGATCAAGGCCAGGACTAATCTTCCTTTATCACTTGATCTACTGGGTAATTTCAAATACCTCCAAAAATCAGCTCATACCTGTCCACACCCTGATCTCACGTTGGCATGCAATATTTTGGAAGTTTAAATATTTAATGGTTCTTGGAAACTTAAGTATATTTATGATGTATTGCTAAATTATACATTAATAGTAGTTACAAATGAACTCAGATAACATTTTAAAAGACACAGAGTTATTTGGTTGCAGGAAATTTTTAAAAATTAAAATAAGGCCAAAACCGGTTTGGCTCAGTGGATAGAGCGTCAGTCTTCGAACTGAAAGGTCCAAAGTTCGATTCCGGTCAAGGGCATGTACATTGGTTGCGGGCACATCCCCAGTAGGAGGTGTGTAGGAGGCAGCTGCTCGATGCTTCTCTCTCATCGATGTTTCTAGCTCTCTATTCCTCTCCCTTCCTCTCTGTAAAAAAAAAAAAAAAAAAAAAAAAAAAATCTATATATATATTTTTTTTAAATTAAAATGACACTTCTGTTATAGAGATATGACAGAGGGCTCAATGAAAGATCTTCAAGTACCAAATGCATATATCAGGATCAAATTCTATGGTGATAGTGGAATAAAAATTAAAGTTCAAGGAGTAAAGAAACAATGTTCTCTGGGGAGGGAGAGTATGTATGGGAGTGAGGGGAATGTAAAAATATATATACAAATAATAATTTAATTTAAAAATTTAAAAGAAAAAGAAGAAGAAAAAAAACTGTTAGATTTCTTTTTCTTTGGAAAAAAAACTTTTAAAATAGTTGAAATCTACAGAGCATTTTTAATGTGTCAAACACAAGGCTAAGATTTTCCTTAATGCAGATTTTCCTCATTTAATTCTCAAGAGACTCCCTGTGATAATGCAAAATTTTTATCAAAGATCAAAGCCAGCCCTGGCCAGTTGCTCAGCGACTAGAGCGTCAGCCCTCGGACCAGGTGCGATACCTGGACCAGGGCACATGCCTCAATCATGGCTTGGGTCCCATGCAAGAGACAACCAATTGATGTGTCTCTCTCACATCAATGTTTCGCTCTCTCTTTCTCTTCCCCTCTTCTCCTACCTACTCTCTCTAAAAATATCAATGGAAAAAATATGCTCAGGTAAGGATTAACAAAGCAGGGAGAAGCAGCAGAAAGACACTGCTGGCCCAGACTTCTAGTGTTCATTTATGGAACGTCTGTGGTATTATAAAAAGCCCCGCCATAAAGCAGCAGTTCCAATAAACTCCTCCATGCACCTCTCCCTTACATCTACCTGTGTCAGGTAGTCGATCAGAGCTAAGTGACCCTTCTCCAACTCAGCCCCGGAGAGCACAGGCAGGGGGTTAGGATACTGCAGCTGCTTCCTGTAGTCGGTGGGCAGCAGGTCCGGGTACAGGCCCATCACATGGGTAGGATCTGGAATGGAAGGTAAACATGAGCCCCCAGAAAGAAGCACAGCAATTTAAGGATAAAAATAAAACAAGTTCCTGACTTTTTGTTTTTTAAAAAAAGAATAACTAAGTTCATAAAGACTAAGTTCAAGTGAGTTATACACTTATAATTTGAGCACTATTTATACACATGTCACTTTACAAAAATGGCATGATTATATTCCAACACACACACACACACACACACACACACACACAGAATTAGAAATGAGAATTTATTAACTCTCTAAAAGCAAAGGGAAAAAAATAAAACTTCTAAGGAAAAACTGCTAAGATAGTGAAGTTGAAAAGATTAAAAAAAAACTGAAAAGAAAAAAAAATCAAAAAGGAATATTACTAAAACAAAAAGACCAGGTAACAGACTACAGTATAAATTTGCAGCTTATATGGCAAAAGGCTAATAAGTTGATTTCATAAAACAAATTGGTTAAAAAAAACACGTAAGATTTCATTTGATAACAAGGCAAAAGACATAACAACTGACAAAAGAAGAATACAAATTAGTGGAAAAATGTTCAGCTACATCAACGATCAAAGTGTTTTTACCATTAAAAATGTCAGGTGAATTCAATATTATTTTATATTGTTTTCAGGTACCTATTTATATAATTTAGGAAGTGATCCCCACCTGACATCATACATAATTGTTACAAGTATTGTTGACTATATCCCTAAGCTCTACTTTACATGCCGTGACTATTCTGTAACTACTAATTTGTACTTCTTAATCCCTTCACCTTACTCATTCCATTCCCTAACTCCCCTTCCCTCTGGCAGCCTGATCAGTCTGTTCTCTGTATCTATGAGTCTCTATATCTATTGTTTGTTTACTTTTGTTCTTTAGATCCACATGTAAGTAAAATCATATGATATTTTTCTTTCCTAAAAGACTAAAATTTAAGCAGTCTCATAAAATTTTTTAAAAAGCTAATTTTGTGAGCTGATGGATGCCGGGAACCAATTCCAGCATGTCATAATTACAAAAGTTTCATCAAAAGGTTGATGAAGCTTGGGGGCCAACAAGGGCTGAGCCACATATGTAGTTTACCTGTTGGAACGGCTAAACAGCACCTCCCCAAACCTGAATGTTTGCTGCCAGACAACTCAGGGTATCTTAATCTGCATGTTATTGCCTCCTGTTGGCCAAACACATGAACAGCTGTAGGCTATTCCCCCAAACTGACAAAGCTTCTGTAAACCCTACCCTTTGAAATGTATTATATGTCTCCATCTTGCCTTGGGACAAACTGTGTTAATAAATAGCACAAGGTTCTTAGATAAGGGGAAGTGTTTTAGTTCCTTTAGCTGAAGATCCTCTGACCCCCAATGCCTTTCAAACTATCTTTCGTCCTTGGACTCCTTCTTGAATCTACGCATCAGCCCCTTTCTCCAAATTGCTGAACCCTTTGTAATGCTGGGGCAAGAACCCTGGCATATGGATTTGTTAACTTGGTTGTGCAATTCTTTTAATATAACATATTTATATTTTATCTTTAAATATATTATGATTTTTATTTGTTATTTACACTTCCATAAAGCTGAAACCAATAAATATAAAATACTATAAAACAATAACAAACATCAAGTGGCATTTTCATATCCATTTAATTAGTAATGAGTATTTTTATTTTTAAATATATTTTTATTGATCTCGGAGGGGAGAGAGAGAGAGAGAGAGAGAGAGAGAGAGAGAGCGCGCACACGCTCTATCCACTGAGCCAAATCAGCTAGGGCAATAAGAGTATTTTTATATAATACTACTTTGTGCTTAAAACATTGTGAAATAATCACCCTTACACTGCTAAGGAAAAAAATATTTCTTCCTCAAAAAGGATAAAAGCATTCACACCTCCAATCCTATTTCTAGGAGTTAATCCTAAAAAAAAGGGGGGGAAAGATAGGGGAGGGGCGCGAAGCGGGGAGGAGTAGGGGGAGCAACATTTGTATGGACAGGTAGCAAAACTTGTAACAATGCAATTTTGGAAACAACGAAGAATTCCTTCAACAGCAAAATAATGTATTTTTCATTCAAATGGTAGAGTATTATGCAGACATTACAAATTCTAAAAGGCACCTAGCAACATGGAAAAACAGTGATTTTTAAATAATGAAAGTACATTATAACTATGCTGGAACATACACCTGTAAAGAAGCTTGGATGAGGAAGAGACAAATGATCTTTGCAAATGCTAGGAATATTCACTACTGGACAGGAGGACAAGACCTTAGACCAAGGTTAGTCAACGGAAGACCTGCCGAGAAGTCCAGTCAATAGCCATCTGCCCCTACACAGCACTGCCCCCAGCATGTCCTCCTGCCACTGGAAAGGATCCACTGTGCCTTATCTTTCCTACTAGATTGGTCTCTGAAAGCAGAATTCCATCTGATTAGTTCTTCTTGGGCCCAGCAGAGTGCTCTGAACTCACCAGGAGCTCAGTACATATTAATGGAATGAATAAATTCAAAGGTAGTAGCTTTATTAGGAATGAATTTAAACCTTTGGAGTGGGGTTCAAGCAGCATTGGTATATGGAAAAAGAATCAAATTACTATAAAAATTCTGTATTATTCCAGTGTCTTTTCAAAGAGCTGGTGGATAAATGTCCCAAAAGAGTTCATTCAAAGGAAGGACAGTAAATATATATGGATTTTTGGTTGCCCAGCTTCCATATCCCTTCTTAACAGCAACTTATTTCCTTTTGGCAACTCCCTCTTCTACGCCAGGTGTAGTTTTGGTAACAATAGTCTGGGCACCTACCTTTGTCTTCAGAAGTAGAGAGGGGCCACAAACTCTTTCCCCACCTCTGGCAGTTAGAGGGAGTGAGATTACAACATAATCTGGACAATCAAAGCCCCTTGATCTTGAGAAAGTGACTCAAGAATGACAAGCAGTGCAGCACACACCAAAGTATACTGCATCCTACCTGCTCCTCGTATAGAATGTCGACAGTCACCCATCAAGAGGTTTGTCTGTGTTCCCTTGCCTTAAACCTGGAAGGACCCTTGTATATCAATAAAATACTGTGGTAAAGTCTTAAAAGGCAATGAAGCTTCCATTGGGAAACCTAATCTATCTGCACAAAGACACTCAAGCATCTTTGTAGAAAGACCCACTTGGATAAGAGCCAGGGCCCCAGCCCCTGGCCAGCACTAACTTGTCAGCTATGAGAGGGAGTCACCTTAAAAGTAGACCCTTCAGCCCTGTTAAGACTTCAGATAACAGTAACTCAGCCCACATACAACTGCAAACACATGAGAGACCCCAAGCAAGAACTCCCCATCTGAGTCTTCCCAAATTCCTAACCAACAGATACCCAGAGAGGTAACAGATGGTTTGTTATTTTAAGCCACTAAGTTTTGGGGTGGTTTGTAACATGGCTTTAGATAGTAACAGAAGCTTGCAGGGGGCAATTCGTATTGAGGAAGCAACAATAGGGGAGGTGGTGGCAGCAACAGCTAAGGAAGTGGCTGTGCTCAGAAAGGAGTCTGCCCATGCCACAAAGGGGTTACTCTTTGGCTTCCTGCTTTCTGTTAAGAGGTCCTCTGAAGTTCCTTTGGTTCCTATCATTCCCGAGCCTGGTGCCCATTAATTTTGTGGGCTCCTCTACTGCTATTCCCATTATGTTCCACTAACTATGATTAATTTATTCAGATACCACTTAAATTACCCAGCAGTGGTCCCATTGCTCACATCCAAGAACCTTAGCTGATTCAGGAGTTACCTCAGCTCTTTATTGGCCAACAATGAGAGAAGGTGGGAAAAAGACAGCAATAAGAGGAGAAAAGAGGACATAAATAATATTATATAAAGTCTAACCATATAAATTGATTCTAATTAAGAAAAAAAAATAGTATAGAAATAAAAAAATCAGTAATAATAGCAAACTCTTAATTGGCACTTAAGTATCACACACTGTTCTAAGCATTTTACATAATCTCATATGAAGTATTATTATTTGCCCTGTTTTGCAGAGAAAAGAACTGGAGGCAGAGAGGTCAGGAATTTTGCTGGAGGTTAGGCAGTCTGACACCAAAGTGCCTGCTCGTCACTGTGATGCTCAGGGTTATTTTTTTGTTTGTTTTTTTAAAAAATATATTTTTTACAGAGAGGAAGGGAGAGAGAGAGAGAGCTAGAAACGTCGATGAGAGAGAAACATCGACCAGCTGCCTCTTGTACACTCCCTACTGGGGATATGCCCACAACCAAGGATATGCCCTTGACTGGAATCGAACCCAGGACCTTTCAGTCGGCAGACTGACGCTCTACCACTGAGCCAAACCAGTTTCGGCGATGCTCAGGGTTTTTAAGACTCCGAGAAAAGGAAGGGCTTCACAACCCTGCCCTGTGCTGCCTCTCAAAAATGACCTCTGTTTGACTCTTAGCTCTAGTCAGGGACTTTTGTCTAGAACAGTATTCAACAAACACTCGATTATAGGATACACAAACAAATGACATTCTGTTACCTTTCTCTAATGGTTAGGGCAACTCATCCTGGAAAACTGGAAGTCTGTCCGTATTTACAGGTGAGACCAGAGTCCTAAGATTAGGACTATAAATATGTCACCTGCAGGATCCTGTCAGGTATGAGGATCAGTTTGGGTGAGTGTAAACTTTCCCCTTTCTCAGAAATCTGGTGTCATGTCTCCTCATCCTGTCCAGTTTCCCTTCCGCCATGACTTCCCTATCCCAGGGCTGCACCCACTTGTTACCTGTGCCGAGCTTAGCAAAGACCTGCATGGACTCATCAAAACGCTTCTGGCAGAAGAGGTTGAAGGCATACAAGTTTTTGATGTGATGGATCTGCTGTTGCTTCTCACTGTCAGAGTCATCTTTCATTTCCTAATAAGAGAGCAGAATAGGTGAGAGCTCACTCACTCTACAAATATTTATTCAGTACACACCCGGTATTAAACAACGCCCAGGAGGTACAAATTCAGCATATACAGACAGTCACATGGTATCTGCTCTCAAAGACTGCCCTCACAGCCTAATCATAAGACTGATAAGCAAGTGTGCAATTAAAATACAACGGGGTTTCTACAAAATATACCTGACTAGTATTCCTGAAAGCGACCAAGGTCATAAAATGCAAGGAACGACTAAGAAGCTGTCGCAGGTCAGAGGACACTAAGGACAAATGGCCAAATGCACTGTGATGTCTGATTTTAAAGGGACATTAATGGAAAAATTGGAAAAATATGAATAAAGTCTAGAATTTAGTTTAAAAACAAAAATAATCAAAACCCAAACAAAACACAGTAAGAGAGATGACAGAAGCACGTAAGAGGGGTAAGCAACAGCCTGGGCAGTGGGTCTGGGAAGATTCTCGGGAGAAAGTAAACTAAGGTCTAAAAAATGAGCTGGAGTGAAGGCAGCTGACAGATGGGAGGGGGGACGGAGACTGTTCCTCCGAGCAGAAAATAGCAGACGTCAAGGCCCTAAAATACCAGAGAGAGAACACAGTGTGCTCAGGAATAAAGATACTTAACACAGCAGGCACAGCATTTATTATCTCTGTACCTTACTTACAACCCCTTCCCCCTGCTGTGTCCCTTTTAAGCAATCTGTACTAAATTTAAATTCTTCCTTCAAAATGCCTTACATTTTTCTCTCTTCCTTTCCCCTCCTTTTCCTCTGCCACTGCCATAGTCCAGACCACCATCAATATGAGGCAGCACCTTGCCTAAAGCCCTCCCACTTGAAGCTCTAAAGGTTTTCAGAACCTTGTGCAACTTTCTTACCCAGCTTCTTTCCAGACATTCAAGCCATAGCCTCCGCTCCATGCCCACCTCTTAGAAATACTTGCTACCACTTCTTTAACTTCCTTGGGCTCCTCAATGCTCCCGTTTCCTGCTCCTGATCTTACCTACCCCTAATGGGCCCAATCTGAGGATGCCTTCTCTGGCCTCAGGGAACTGTCCTTCTCTCACATCTTGTCAGCACTGACGTTTAGTATATTATTGCCCTCTGAAAGGGACACATATGGTCTTTATTTAAATAGAAGACAGATTCCTCAAGAGTTAAGATGTTATAGACCAAGCTCCCTTCATCATAGGGCAGACCACCTAGAAAGTGCAAGCCTAGAAAAGAGAAGGAAAAGTGGGAGCCCACTCCCATCTTCCCTATCGAAGATTAAACAGAAAACTTACATCAGGAGGATCACTGAAAAGATCTGAAACCTTCGTGTTAAGAAAAATATAGGTACTCAAAAAGCTATGTATTGTATCATACTGTTTTTTAAATTAGGTTTAAAACTAAATACATATTCTAACATACCTAAAAATCTTTAAAGGGCATGATAAGCACATAATTTTGGATAATAGCTGTGTCTGGAGGGGAGGCAGAGGGATGGGTTGGGGAAGAACATACAAGGTTATCAGTTCTTTTTCTTGATTAAGGTGGTGGGTGTTCTTTAATTTAAAATAGAAATAAAATAATATAGAACAATGCATGAATGGAAAATAACAGAATAGTAAGATGCTGACATTAAGTGTCCCAAGAAATAAATAATTTTTATGGGGTATTAAACATGTTCAACTATTAAGACTGGATTTTAGTTTTAAATCCAAAATTCATATATCCGCCGAAACCAGTTTGGCTCAGTAGATAGAGCGTCGACCTGCGGACTGAAGGATCCTGGGTTCGATTCTGGTCAGGGGCATGTACCCTAGTTGCGGGCACATCCCCAGTGGAGGGTGTGCAAGAGGCAGCTGATCGATGATTCTCTCTCATCGATGTTTCTGACTCTCTGTCCCTCTCTCTTCCTCTCTGTGAAAAATCAATAAAATATATTTTAAAATAAACAAAAAAAAAAGACAAAAAAAACAAAAACAAAATTCATACATTCAAAATAAATGTTCTTCAAGAATATCCACCATATGTGATGTAGGTATATATACCAAAATTTGTGACAATGGCTATCCTTTCAGAAATAAATTACAAGATATTCTAGACATTAAGTTTTCCTACTACTGTCTTCATAAACACTTTGCTACCGTGTTTCCCCGAAAATAAGACATCTTCCGAAAATAAGACCTACTTACAGGTTTCCTTCTGAGTGAAATATAAGGCATCCCTCAAAAATAAGGCCCCCAAGGCTAAACATGAGAGATTTGGTCCACTAATTTTGAAAGAAATGGAGTCACAAGAAATTCACCAGGAAATTCAGGAATTTGGATTGTTATGATGATGTTCCAGAAGATATGACATGATTGTCATTGAATAAATGGGTAAATTCTTGATACTGTAGGATTCACAGTTTGTCTAGTTTGTGTTGACAACTACCGTTGTCAGAGAGAGAACACCATATCGTATACAGGTAATAAATTTCCTTTATTTTCATTTAACAATAAATGTGGTCAAAACCAGTTTGGCTCAGCAGTAGAGCATCAGTCTGCGGACTGAAAGGTCCCAGGTTCGATTCCAGTCAAGGTACATTGGTTGCGGGCACATCCCCAGTAGGGGGTGTGTAAGAGGCAGCTGGTCGATGTGTCTCTCTCATTGACGTTTCTAGCTCTCTATCTCTCTCCCTTCCTCTAAGAAAAATCAATAAAATATATTTAAAAAAAAAAACAAAAAACCTTGCCGAGACCGGTTTGGCTCAATGGATAGAGCGTCGGCTTGGGGACTGAAGGGACCCGGGTTCGATTCCGGTCAAGGGCATGTACCTTGGTTGCGGGCATATCCCCAGTAGGGGGTGTGCAAGAGACAGCTGATCGATGACTCTCTCTCATCGATGTTTCTAACTCTCTATCTCTCTCCCTTCCTCTCTGTACAAAATCAATAAAAATATTAAAACAAAAAAACAACAACAACAACAAAAAAACCAAAAACCAATAAATGTGTACCATTTTCTTCTTCATGAAAAAATAAGACATCCCCTGAAAATAAGACCTAGAGCATCTTTGGGAGCAAAAATTAATATAAGACACTGTCTTATTTTCGGGGTAACAGGGTATTACCAAATTACACTGTCTAGTTTAATGACTAGGAAAGGTTCAGAATGACTTTTGGTTGTTTTCTAAAATCAAACCCATCATCTACAGATGACTAATACCCACTGGGGATGTTTAAAAGAATAAGACAAGCCTCAGAAGCCAGAGTCCAAGATGTCTGTTGGCCCTGGGAGCATTGCTGGACCCAGAGCCGAGAATATCACCCCATGTAAACATTCAAGGAGGATGACAGCCATAAGAAAAATGCAGCCTGCTGAATGCAGCAACTTATGATGAGAGAAGAATACCTAAGGGCCTGCTTGTCCAAACATAACAGTCCACTGTTGAAAGAGATGCTGAGGCCCTCTAGTGGTTGCATTCAACCACACCAGAATATCTTTATTTTATTTTTTTATTTGTGTGTGTGTGTGTGTGTGTGTGTGTGTGTGTGTGTGTGAGAGAGAGAGAGAGAGAGAGAGAGAGAGAGAGAGAGAGAGAAAGAGAGAGAAAGAGAGAGAAAGATGGATGTGAGAAAGATACAACAGTTGCCTTCCATATGTGCCCTGACCAGGGACTGAATAGCAACCCAGGTGTTTGCCCTGACTGGGAATCCAACTCTCGATCTCCTAGTGCACAAGACACTCAACCAACTGAGCCACACTGGCAGAACAACCAGACTGTAATCCTACATTTACAATTATTACTTTACTCCAACATTTGCACTGTCTTCAACTTTTCAGGAGCAGTTCATTATCTACTAAATTACTTTATTCTATTAATTCTATAAAATAATATAATTGACATTAACTCTACATTTGCAAACTGAAAAAGTGAAATCACTTCAAGTTACACAGATACTTTGTGGCAGAGTCAGACCCTGCATCCAGGGCCTCAGACTTTCAGCCCTGTGAGTTTCCACTGGTCGGAACCAAATATGAAAAACTAAACCCAAATCACCGACTTTGGAGAACAACAAGAAAGGCAGACTCACACCCAAATCTTAGAAACAAGACTTACTGCAAGCTGCAAAGCCAATTCAAACTGTTTGTCCTGGAGCAGCTGTTGGATCTGAGTTGCCATGGGGACAGGAATAAGTCTCCAAACAAAATGATTGCTGGCCACATAGATAATGTTTGATCTGGAGGCAGGAGCAAAAAAAGTATCAGCGAAATGACACAGGCTTTCTGATGACATAGGTGACTTTAAAGCTTTGTAATGATAATGATACGGCAATTACAGCAAAGGAAGAACCTCCTTACCCTCCTGAAGTGATGAAACGAGGCCTTTGCAATTCAATGCTCTGGACCAGGAGCCGTGGTTCAAGTGTTCGGATCTCCACATAGCGAGGCAACACTGCAATGATGTAGGGCGGCTGGTGCTCTGTGCAAAAGAGAACACCTTGAGTTGCAGTTCTGACCTAAGGCTTTAGGTCTATGAACTGTCAGTTGCCCATTATAAGTTGCATTTAAACGTGATCTCCAAAAAGCCCACAGGTCAAACACCAAGCCAGGATCCTATCATCTACATATATATAAAAGCCTAAGTTCGATGGTTTGAACGCTCGCCTGGTAGCTATGATACACAATGACCACCAGGGGCCAGACACTCCAACCAGTAGAGGAGGGAGCCCGATTCCTTATGGAATTGGTTAGGTTGCTGCTGGGGCACTGTCAGCCCCAAATCTGCTTCACCCGCACCCCAGATCCAGAGAGGAGGGAGCCCGATTCTGGGATGCATCACCCGAGAACTGCCCTCTCACAACCTGGGACCCCATCGGGGGATGTCAGAGAGCCACTTTTGGCCTGATTCCCGCAGGCCAGGCCGAGGGATCCCACCGCTGCATGAATCTGTGCACTGGGCCTCTAGTGCGATATATAAAGACAAAAGGTTGTTTGCCTGAGTGATGCTAAGAGAAATCTCTTACACAAGAAGGATGCACTCAGCTCTGCTAAGAGTGACCTGATCCTACTCCTATCATTTCTCCCAAAGAACTGGGGGGAAGCTTCACTTACTCCTTTCTCATCGGTCACAAAGTGAGGCAAGAGGAGTGCAGCTTCTTTACCCCTGAAATTATGCTAAAAAAAATGAGTCCCCCATTTCTGGCCTCTGTTGTTTCTGTTTGAGATTTTCACAGGGAAGAGATGCAAAACTCCATTTGACATTTTTGTTTTTAAATATAATTTTATTGATTTTTTAGAGAGAGAGAGAACAAGGGAGGGAGGGAAGAAGGGAGAGAGGGGATATATATATGGAGAGAGAGAGAGAGAAAGAGAGAGAGAGAGAGAGAGAGAGAGAGAGAGAGAGAGAGAGAGAGAGAGACATCAATGTGAAAAACATTGATCAGCTGCCTCCAGCACATCACCTACAGTTATCAAACCCACAACCTGGGCCTGGGCCCTGACAGGGAATGGAACCGGCAACCAAGCCAAACCAGGTTGGTGTATGGGATGATGCCTAACCAACGAAGGCACACTAGCCAGGGCTCCACTTAACATTTAATGGCTCACAGAGAAGGCAGCTGAATTGTGTTCTCAGTGAGCTGTTTTCTACCACTTATATGAGGTATCTAGAATGTCAAATTCATAGCAACAGAAAGAATGATTATTGCCAAGGGCTAGGGGAAGAGAGAAATGTGTTGCTTAATGGATATAAAGTTTTAGGTTTGGGAGATGAAAAAGTTCTGAAATCTGTTGCATGATAATATATGTAACACTGCTGAACTGTACACTTAAATGGTTTAGAAGGTAGATTTTATGTTGTTTTTTACTACAATTAAAAATTAAAAATTTTTCTTTATAAAAAAATGAACCACTAGATGATATAATTGTCATACAGAAATTTAACCTCAAAGAATATATTCACAAGAATAGTTTCTTAGTGTGGCTAACTTGCTATGATTTAATTTTTCTCATCTATTTTCTGATAAAAAGCTTTTGATTTTATATTTGTAATATATACTCTAAATGAATAGTACAATAAAATTTTAAAGCCAGAAGGGAATTCAGAAACTGAAGCATAAGTAATATTTTCATCACTTTAAATGCTATTGTTACTGTGCTATTTTTCATCTTACCAGAAAACACAATTAAAAAACATTGTTTTGCACTTGATTTTTAAGTTTTCTTTCAATCTTGGTCTCATTTTTTTAAAGCTAGTATAATTTTCCTCAGTGTTAATTTGTTTAAGTATGTAAAATTTCTCTCCTTTTTTAATCTTAATAAGGTCTAATTATTATTTTTAATATATATTTATTGATTTCAGAGAGGAAGGGAAAGGGAAACATCAATGATAAGAGAGAATCATTGGTTGGCTGCCTCCTGCACTCCCCCTACTGGGGATTGAGCCTGCAATCCGGGCATGTGCCCTTGATTAAAATTTAACCCAGACCCCTCCAGTCTACATGCCGAAGAGCAAAACCACTGTGACAGGTCTAATAATTTTTCAGAGGTAATCTGTACTAGGAACCCTGTTGGTTGTGATATTGCATTTGTTCAGTCTCCCCAACTCTTCAGTAGTGTTTCTCAAACACAATAAAAATGGTCTGGATCTCTTTGTATCTTCAAAACCTAGCTCAGTGGCTGGTGTGCAGCAGACATAATAACTGCTGACAATGACATGACGATCTATCCCTCAGCATTTACTAAAAGGCCGTGTTTCAGACACTGCCCAGAGTGGATGGAGACGGAGCCCAGAGCTCGCAGAGCTCCTAGGAGCAGAGGCGACAACACCCTGCACCCAGCGGGACCACGTGGATGCCGCCACAGAGAAACCTGGAAGGCTCTGGAAGCAGCAAAGAGGAAGTGGCTGACTCTGCCTGCGGGTCAGAGAAGCCTCCATAGAGGAAGTGCCGCAGCACGGGGCCTTGTCATATGACCAGGATGCTGCTGGGTGAGAAGAAAGGAAAACAGTGCAGACAATGGCAGTGAGGGGGAATCCAAAATGACTGGACCCTGCCCTGGCCGGTTTGGCTCAGTGAATAGAGTAGTGGCATGAGGACTGAAGGACTAAAGGGTCCCGGGTTCGATTTCAGTTAAGGGCACATGGTTGGGGCATAAGTCAGAGTCTTACATCTATGTTTCTCTCCTTCTGTCTCTCCCGCTCCCTTCCACTCTCTCTAAAAACCAATATTAAAAAATCCTTAGGTGAGGATTAAAAAACAAAAACCAAACAAACAAACAAAAATGACTGGAGCCTGTGTGACGTAGTCAAGATGAGAGCAGAAAAAAAGTGCGGTTTAAAACGCATGCCGTTCTGAGCTCAGTCTTCCTCCAGTCGGAGGGGAGTCCCACCCTACCCAGAAAGAATGCCCTCTGCTTCAAAATGTGAAGGCACAGAAATGTTCCTGAGAAACACTGCTGAAGGCACTGGGCACTGACAACGGTTTTAAAACCGGAACTCTCACACTGGAGAGTCAGAAGCAAGCTTCACGCAAATTACACATCTTCATCTCATCGACCAGCGTTGTTCTCAGCAAGGGCCCCTAGGACCTCAGGAAGCTTCTTGGGAAGTTCTCGGCCCCTCAAACTCACTAATACGCATAATCCTGGGCCTTATCAAATACTATCCTTTTGATTTCTCTTCCTTCTGGTGTATTAGTGTCTTAACCACCAGAAAAACCACCCATGACATTAATAAGACGTTCTACCCCTGCGGAGTCTACTGGCCTCTTCAACCTCGGGCATGGGCCTCAAAAACTGGCCCTAATCTTATTCTTCCGTAATTCAGACCACGTGTTCTAGCCAGCTCAGTCTCCGGCATGCCCTTCACAGATGAGCATGTGTTCTACATTTTACTCGCTTTTCAAACTATTCTTTCTACCTGGAGTGAAAGGGAATTTTTCTTTAAGCCAGATCCTAAATTCCCTGCCGGTTTAGTGCAATCTTGTGGATGTAGTAATGAAACTGCCTCCTGACTATTGAACAATGAACTTCCCCTTTCTGAACTACTGAATCTCAGCTCATCCAATTTAACACCTGAGGCAGTGCCTTAAGCAGTTTTGTCACTTTTGACAAAATTTAATTTTTGTATCCAAAGCTAAAGTCCTTAAAGTCTGCATGCCCCACTGCACAGCAGTAACTATTATTAACATGTTCATTCTTTCAACTGGCAACACCTTCACAGAGGGCTGGGAGCCTGAGGCGGGTGTGGGACAGAAAGGAAGGACAGAGACCGACACCTAAACGTAGTCTGCACCTCTAAGCTACAAAACAGCACAATAACCATGTAAACCGAGTTATATGTATTAAAGAAATAAATAAAGAATTTCCACATTTGACATCTGGCAGAGGGCACAACAAACCATTAAAAATAAACTGAGAGGTAAAGATAGCAGCAGACAATTATTTATAAAATGTGCAGTTCCATTTAGATTTCCCCTGCCTCTGGCACAAACATCAGCTTTCTACAAAAACCAGAATACCCCATTTTCAAAAACCCTACCACAGGTGCCTAGTTATAAGAGGGGAACTGAGAGTGGATGACACTGTTAACCAGTGTCTGCTAAAGCTATTCTTCCATTCTTCGAAGATGGCACGCAGCCCTAGCCCCAGGTGGGCAACAGCAGCTACCGTTGGTCTCACCCATGGCCACTGGTATGTCCGTCCAGTTCAGGGCGCATTTCTGTGTGCAGATCCCCTCCTCGTTGAGCACCACGGTGAGGTCATCCTGACCCACGGCCACTTTCCTATCTGCCAGAGGGGCCACCAAGGGCTCCAGCTGTTTTCCTGTTGGGAAGAGCTCTTTGATAGACCCCTTTCCATCCACCTGCGGGAAATAGAGAGTTAGTCACCAGCATTCTCTGACCCGAGGCATGAATACGGCCTGGGGAAAAAAATCAAGATAAAAACCCCAAACCTAGAGAAGTCAAAAACAGTCCTTGTTTGGCACAAGGAAATAGATAACAAATAGAATTTGTTAGAAAAATGTTGTCATCATTATGTAGAACCAGTTCTCTTCTCTAACACAGAGACCAGCATCTAGCCTGGCAAATAACAAGGTCTAGTGCTGGCCAGGATGAAGAGCGACTGGTACGCTCAGACTCTGCTGGTGAGAATGCAAAATGGTACCGCTATCCTGTTAGTTTCTTTTAAAGTTACATATACACTTATGATGTAACCTAGCAATTCTATTACTATGCACTTGCCCAAGAGAAATGAAACTTATTTTTTATTACATAAAAACCTATATGCAAATGTTTATAGCAGCTTTATCAGAACGGCTGAAAATTGGAAACAACTTTGCCTTTCAACTGGTGAATAAATAAACTATAATACATTCGTACCACAGAATACTACTCAGCCATAAAAGAATATATTGACCAACACAGGTGGATGTCAAATGCATTGCAGTACACTAATCATATATATGATTCTGATGCTTCTGTTTATCTGACATCTGGCAGAAGCAAGAACAGATTACTGAGGCTGAGTGTAGAAGAAGGAGGGCTGACCTCAAGAGGCAGCAGAAGGGAATTTCAGGAGTGATGGAACTGTTCTAAATCTTGATTGTGGTGGTGGTTAGAGAACTCTGAGCAATTTGTCAAAACTCAGAACCACACATCAAAAAGGATGAATTTTGCCAAAACTGGTTTGGCTCAATGGATAGAGCGTCGGCTTGGGGACTGAAAGGTCCCGGGTTCAATTCCGGTCAAGGGCATGTACCTTGGTTGCGGGCATGTCCCCAGTAGGGGGTATGAAAGAGGCAGCTGATCGATGACTCTCTCTCATCGATGTTTCTAACTCTCTATCTCTCTCCCTTCCTCTCTGTACAAAATCAATAAAATATATTAAAAAAAAAAAAAAGGACGAATTTTACTATATGTAAATAAATGAGTAACTTTTAAATATCCTGGTCCCATAGCAAGATTTTTCACGCTCAAATGATTCTAGCCTTAAGTGGGAGATGGAAATATCCAAGGTTGTTAGGTAATAAAAATACTCCAACTTCTGGCTGTCTCCCATCCCCCGGACTTCTCTTAGCCACTGTATGCCTAGATGCAAGCTTGCTTTTCAGTCAACTGTACACCAGTAACTCCTTTACAAGCTTGCAACTCTGATATTGATAAAAGGTAGGATATGTAAATATCAATGTAAATATAAAACAATGTAAATATGGGATAAATACAGTAACTAAACAATGATGAGCTAACACAGTGAGGGTAGGGCAGTGGGGAGAGGGGAGAATGGCTTCTAGAACTGCCAAGTCTGGATTATGAGAAGGGTATGAAGCTAAGAAATTTAGATTATGAAACAAATGGTCATCAATCTTTTTCTATAGTTGTGTACATACAGTTTGCAGAGTGGAGGAAAAAAGACTAGTGTCATGGATATTTACTGCTTAGGTGAAAAGAAAAAGCAGGTTATACCGTATATTACATAATATATACAGTATAATATAATACATATACGTGTATAACATGGTATTTTTATAAACAGGATAGAAGTCCTATACCGAAAGGTCAGCAGTGATTATTTCTGAGTGGGGGGGGATTATGGATGATTTGCCTTTTATCTATATTTTCTTTAATAAATATGTATGGTTTTTGAAGTTTAGAAAAAAAGCAATGGAAACAATTTTTAAAACAAATATACTAAAAGATGCAGATATCGCAAAGTCTTAAAAGTACTTAATACTAAAATAGCAGTCCATGATAATGCTGTTGCAGATAAGCAGCCCTAATGATCTGTACCAATAATTAGACTCAGGATCTGGATAATTCATTATGTAGAGAACTGAGAGCTGACTCTGCCTAGCTTAAGATACACAGATATCATATTTGTGAAAGATGCTGAGAGCATGAAAAATGACCAAACATACAAGCACAAACCCTTGCAATGCCAAAAACTCTACTTAAGGCAGTCTCTTGACTTATACTTCAGAAGCATAGAATCATCTTCCCCAAAGCAAACTGATGATATTTGCAAAATAATATTTACCCTTATGAGATAGTAGTCTCTTTTGAAGCCCACACAGATAGAATTTTCACACCATGCCATGGACTTGGGCACGTCTGGTACACTAAAGTCCCCCTGGAGAAAGAAAGCAAGAGTTCAATTGGAAAGATGTTAAAAGAAAAAAAATCACAATGTTCCTATTATTGCACCCCCATTCTGCAAAACCACTCTCATCCTCATCTGAATTCAATTCCATAAGCACAAGACCAGGAAACCACCCATAAAATAAAAATATAGCTGGTCCTTGAATAACATCATTTCATTCAACATCATTTTGTTATAACGTTGACAAGATGCTGTAGGAATTTAACTCTTGTTTACAGCAACGAGCCTATTTTGTTAAATGTCATTTTGCTTAAAATTGCAGAACCTATCAACAATGTTCAGAGAGGACTGACTGTAAGTCACCCAAGTACTGGACGACTTACAGGTGCATTTGGAAAGGTGAAAACTCACTTTGAAAAAACCAGTCTGCGCAGTTGCACCTCAGTTGTATTGGTACTACTGCTGCCTCTGGAGACCACGAGACTGACCAATGGGCATGAAGAAGCTGTGTGTGTACACAGCAGAGCATTCCTCTGGAGAGAACTCCGAGCCTGGGATCATGACCTTCACCACACGGAACCTTAGTCTTCCAAGCTGTGAGTCAACTATAGCAGGACCCCCCGCACCCCCCCAACCTACGGCCCAGGTGGCAGTGGGCTTTACCTGCAGTTCATGAAACTCCCTGTCCTTCCAGAAATAGAGCTGCAGCTTCTTTTTCACGGCCACACACATCCGCAACACCTCCTCACCGGTCTCCTTGTGCTGCAAACACACACCCAGAGCAAATGAGGGTGTGCACACAATTGCTCTGCAGCCGAATGACAACGAGGCTAGAGGTTTTCTGCCTTGAAATGGCTACTAGTCTGAAAATCCCATCATGACCTGAAGGATACCGTTCTCTAAGATGTAATCAGAACCAACAGGCCGAGAGCATTTCCTCCCCATGGGCTGCTGGTCAAAGGCCCTCGCACCACAGCCCTTGTGGACATTCACAATTCAGAGAGGAAAGCCCCAGGGCAGGCCTTTACCTACATAACCGCTTCCTCCTTTTTTTCCCTTTAAATGCTTCTCGCTCATGGCTGTCAATTCATGCTGGATCTGAGATCAGCATGGTCAGTGGTCACTTTCAATCCTTTAAAGAAGTGGGGGCGGAAAGGGGAAAACCAAGCCAGTGTGCTCAGTGGTTAGCATCATCCCAAGAGGTGGCCAGCTTGATTCCCAGTCAGAGCACATGTCCGGATTGCAGGCTCAATCCCCAATAGGGGGTATTCAAGAGGCAGGCAATCAATGATTCTCTCATCAATGTTTCTCTCTCTCCTTCTTTCTTTCTCTGAAATCAATTTTTTTTTTAATTTAAAAAGAAAAAGGAGTTGGTGGTAAAGAAAATGTGTATGCATAAAACCATGTAGATCATAAATGCCAAAAAGTGATCAAAGTTGTGGGTGAGGCAAATTTTGAAGAATATAAGGTGGTAGCAAAAAATGAGAAATGTCTTTCCTGAATGACAAAAGCTCCCTAAAGACGGAGCCATGATGATATGCTTAGAATAAGAGTAATTTAATGTCTCAGAGCTATGTTCATGGAACTGTTACAGGTTTCATTTCCCAGTAATGGTTTCTCCATCACAGTTGTTTTTATCCTTGGTTAGCTGCCTCCTGCCATACAGATATCTGGTGCTTTAATTGGCACACATACCAGGAATGCAAATGCTTCAACCTCAGACTACATGCAAACAAGGAAATTTCTCTAATAAAACCCAAAATCAAATATTCTCTGCGGAGTCTCTGCTGGGATTGGGTATCAGTATTATTCTTCCCATCTAATAGTATAAACGATAGAGGAAAGACTTTTTATTTAAGCACAACGTTGAATTTCATCTTGCCTACGATTACCTGGAGGTCACATGTGAACAGCGATGCTCCCTTTGCTTTTGAAACTGTAGTGATTTGTTGAAATGTCAATAGGTCGTGGACATAAATATTATTTTCTGTTTAGAAGGAGGCAAAACATCACAATAAATTATCACAATTCTCTAATATAGCCACCTTCAAGACAGCAACAAAACTGTAACAACCAGAAGAACCAAATGGCAAGTGTTGGTTGTATAATAGATGCACCTTCACTTTCACTAACAATGATTTACTCTGGTCTGTTACAAAACTTGGAAGAGGTTACTCAGTCTTCTGAACTTAGATATTTTATTCCTTTAAATTGTGGCCGGTTTAAATAAAAGACCTCTTCCAAGCACTCTCATACTCCTTCTCAAGTCTGGAAATTTGTGATGCAATGTTTGCATAAGAAACGGTTGTCAAAGCTATTTCCATGGGAAGGCTCCAATTAGAGAAAGGAAACCCTCATGGATTTTGTACAAACCAATTGCAAGGATTTCTTTTCTAGCAAAGCAGGCAAGAGAATTTCACTCAGGCCTCCTATCCAGCTTCTGTCATGAAGACTTGCTACTTTCAATGCTTCTCTTTTAAATCCAAGTTTAACACGACTCTACCATGTGGGCCCTGGGCTGAACAGTACTGAGTGTGCAGCAGGCTTCTGGTCGTCTGCTCACCAAGGAAAGTCCTCAATGGCTGCCTCCCAGGCGACTGTGGCTGCCACACAAGGCCATGGACAGTCTTGCCCTGATCTGTCTTTCACCTTCCTCTTGCCACTCTCCACCTAAGTCTGGCCTGTTCTCGGGGCCTTTGCTCAAGCTTTTTTTCCCCCGCCTATAATGCTCTGCCTACCACTTTCTGTCAAAATCCTAGTCACCCACTAGATAATGTTGTCCCTCCCATTACTACGATCCCACAACACTTTTTATAACTCTCCACTGTAACTTACCACGCTGTATTATGATTACTTTCTATCATTTCAGTCTTCACAATTGGAACACAAGATAGAAACCATGTCTCATTCCACATAGTATCCCCAATGCCTAGAGTAGGTCTCAATGAATATTTGCTCAATTACTGAGTGAATGAATGAATGAGTGAATAAATGAACTGACACTTCTTGGAGAACAAAGCTCAAGTTTATGGAGGCTGTTCTTACCTTAGTTACCTGTGTAGCCTGTTATATATTACTAGAGGCGTGATGCATGAAATCCATGCACTGAGGGAAGGCAGGGGGGTGAGGAGGGATCCCTCAGACCAGCCTATACCCTCTTGAGTCTGGGAGGCCTCAGGGGATGTCCAACTGATGGCTTAGGCCCATGGTCGGACATCCTTAGCACTGCTGCCACCACCACTGTGCTCACCAGCCATTGAGTCCAGCTTCTGGATGAGCGGCACCCTCGCGCCCCTCGCGCCCCTCCCACCTCCCCCTCCCACCCCCCGCTGTGGGAGCGCACTGACCACCAGGGGGCAGTTACTGCGTTATGCATCTGGTGGTCAGTGCACGTCAAAGCAACTGGTCATTCCACTGTCAGTCAATTTGCATAGTAGCCTTTTATTATATAGGATTTGGAACAAGTCAATTTCATTGTTAGTAATAATTATCAAATTAACCATGAAAGGATTAATTAGGTCATAGCCTGTATTTTTTGACACATGAAATACAATCATAGCCCCCTTTCTTACCTAACAAGCTGACTAGAATCTTAAACTGGGAAACCACATGGATCTGGAAAAGAGCAAATGATTAGACTTAATTAAACATTAACCCTGACAAGGGTTAACAAACATTCATTTAACTACAGTAATAAAAAGGTACTAAAAAGCCTACACCAATGACAGGGATCTGACTTATATTTATTTATGTGCAATCCCAGTTTCTGCTTGTGAAAGGATCTCAGACACATAATGATCAGACAGAAATCCCTGAATAAATGGGAGGACAGAGCAGAGGACGCAAAGAGTTAAATGATGTGACGGAAGTTCTAGTTCTGACAGGGTCTCAGAGAAGTCAAATATAAATATAGCAACCGCCATCACTGCCTACCTGCTGAATCTTTTTGGAGAAGTTCTTGTTGGATTTCTCTAGTGTCACTTCAAACCTGTTGCAGCCTATGGGAAAGAAAGAAACACAGTTCCAAGCGCAGGGCCATATTTAAAATAACGACAACACAAAATGCTGCTCCATCCTGCTCTCCTCCATGAATCTTTAACAACTCCTAGAAGACCAGGAGTCAGAGATTTACACGAGCCAGCTGTCTTTATAGCGTACAGTAAGTTGCTTTCAACTCCAAGTTTAGAGCAGAGGGTTTCATGTGCTTCCACGTGGCATCAGCAGTCAGTATGACACCACAGAAGTTTACTGAGGCTGCAAGGTACTTGTGATTCTGAACATCTTATCCTGCAAAGTAGTACCTTGGCAAAGTATTTCACACACACACAAAAAAAGAGTATAAAGAGCAACAGTCAAATATTTAAGACCAAGCAATGAAAACCAGCCCAAAGCAGCCTTAGATCCAATTCCACCGAACTCCCAACTGCTACCCGCTCTTCTGGGACAGAGCAAACACACTCAGCACCATGCCCAGAGCTAAAGCAATTTAGTGCATCTACACTTACTGCCGCTTTCAGGTGATGCCACAGCTGCTGGCACTGTTTCAAAAAAGGGGGGGAAAGTTATTTACCATAAAAACATGTGAAGCCAGCCTTGCTGGGATGATAAAAATATTCATCCTCAAAAGTCACCAAAGAGTCAAAAATCACTGCTCTGGGGCAGACAGCACCACTGAAGCAAACCTAAAGTTGTTAAGACCTTAGATGTGAACTAATCTAACCCCGGTGGTTAAGATATGAGTAGAATGAGGCCTAGAGACCTTTTGAGCTAAAGGAGATGGCTCAGTTCAAATCAAAACTCAGTCCCCTTAATACGGGTCTTTCCTTGACATCTTGTTACCCACTCCCTTTCCTCAGAAAGACAGTCCAGTTGCAGACCTCTCCAGCTTTATAATATCTCCAATTGAGAAGCCAACTTAGTTCTATGGCTGAATCATGGAGGCCCAGAAATTGCCTAGCAAACCAGAGCTAGGCCAGAACTGAAAGGGTATAGGAAGAAGAAAAGTTTCTAATCAGAGTTTGATTTCCTAATAGTCTAAGGTAGGCTAATATTGCTATTCAAGTTGCCTATGAGAGAACTGAGGCCCAGAAAGATTAACTTGTGAAAGGGCACATGGTGAATTGGTCACAGGACAAGGAACAGCCATACCACGGGGGTCTACGTCAAATTAACACTAATATTATCAGTTTGAGTCCATACCTTGTTGAAAGATCTAATTTTTATAGTCTAGTTGTCAATTCCTCATCACTTATGCAGAAATGGTATATTAAACAAGTGGCTTTATTGTAGTACTTAGTGTTTGATGGCAAAAGAACTAATTATCTATTAGGGGAAAAGAATATTAGGCTCTTATCTCCGTTCTGCACAAAATCTGAGCCCAAAGTAAAACAAAGCTGTTGAATGCCGAATAAAATCAAAGGCAAGCTTAATTTTCAAATTATAGACTAGGTAGATGTCACAGAATGCAAATATTCTAGCTCTGAAGACTAAAAATTTATAGCAAAGGCCAGCAAAGTACTGCGCATGGGTCAAATCCAGCCTTTGACATGTTTGGTAAATAAAATTTTATTGGGACACAGCCACACCCTTTCTTTTACATATTGCCTATGGCTGCCTGTTTGCTACAATGGCAGAGTTCAGTGATCACAACAGATCTTATGGCCTGCAAGGCCTAAAGTAGTTACTACTTGGTCCTTTTTGGAACAAGTTTGTGATTGCTATTGAAAAAGAAAGTTGAAATACTTGAAAATGAAATAAACCCTCTGTTTTGAACTGGTTTCTCTTCTCACTGGACCACAGTGAAAGGTAAACAAATATGCCACACCAAATATGCTACTTTGGCTTAAGAATTATTTTGAGCTGAGGCAACTGAGAAGAAGAAGATAGAAGATAAACTCTCTCTGCCCTGGCTGATACGGCTCAGTTGGTTGAGCGTCAACCCATGCACTGCGAGGGTGCCGGTTCGATTTCGGGTCAGAGTTTAAGCTTGGGTTGCAGGTTCAATCCCTAGTAGGAAGCATGCAGGAAGCAGTCGATAAATGTTTTTTCATCAATATCTCACTCTCTCTCCCTCTCCCTTCCTCTCTCTCTAAAACCAATAAAAACAAATTTAAAAAAACAACACACCAACTCTCTCTGTTCTACTACTTGCCTAAAAGCACGACATAAATTTACAAAGCTGTCTCTCCCCTTTCTATCAGGAAGGACAGAATTTAATCACTGCAAACAACTCAGGACCCTCTCAGCCCAGAGATGGCAGCAGAGAAATCTGCATAGCAAACTTATCTCCAATTAGATCCCCCATATATTTGCTATCCCACAATTTGCCGTTCTAGAAACTCACAAGTCTTTTTCTTTTATCTGGTCACTTCTCTAAAAAGTTGTTGTTTGCTTGTTATGATGATACAAAGTTCGAATCACCCCTTTGCCTTATTCATCTCTGAGTGCTCTCGTGTGTATGTACAATTTCCAAGTTAATAAACCTCTACTTGTTTTCCTCCTGTTAATCTGTCCTTTGTCCAATTTACAGGTCTTTAGCCAATGAACCTCAAATGAATAGAGGGAAAATAATTTTTTTCTTTCCCTATACTGGTAAGATGTTCTTTTCTCTATTACCTTTGCTCTAGGTTCTAAAGAGAAGGCTCTATTTTCATGTTTCCTTAAGCTATGTACTATAGAAAGTTATTTATCAGGTTGAAAGCTATGAAATTTTGTTTTTTTCTAATATGGCTGAATAATGACAATTTCATATGGTTCAACCTACTGTGGCATTCACAGCAGATTTCTACAGACTGAAGCTCCAGGGCTTAATATCCAAACAAAATAATTTCCCATAAAGAGAGCATAGAAATAAAATTAGGAAAAGGAAATGAAGTACTTTTTTTTCTGTTAGAGGATACTCTAACAGAATAAATTTCACATACTTTTTAGTTACTATTCTCAGTCACATTTGATTAGAACATTAGTTTTTAAAGTTCTTTCAGTATGTATGGGGGGGGGCAATGTTAAAATATGTACACAGATAATAATTTAATAAAAAAATAAAATAAAAAAATAAAGTTCTTTCAAACATTTTACTGAATCTGACCCCAACAAATCTGTAATTAAAAACTGACAGTTTATAGAAGAGAAAAATGACATTGAAACGGACCTACTCAGTCAAGTAGCCAAACCGAAATAAAGCTGGACTCAAACCTAGATCCTTTTTCTCCTAGTTTACCCCTCATAATCAATGAGGTCTTTTAAATCAATGTTTCCTAATATTTTTCTACTACCATATCATTTACAGAAACATCTTATTTCCCAACGTATCATTTCTTATTTCGAGCAGTAAGTCTCCAAAAAATGAGGAAGGGGGAACATCTAATCCCCTACCCCCGGCCTCACCATCCCCACGGACACAGGGACATATGGTCTGAAAATTAGGAAAACCCTGAAGATTCTCACATGATTCTCCCCACTTTCCCACAGTGCTACTCCCAGTCCCCTGCCACTCTTTTCACGGTCCAGAAATCACCGGTTTTACAGTGGTACATTAGCTAATTATCAAAACTCTCTTTTTTGCATGGATAAGCCATTTCTTTCCAGTTCTGGAAAGTTGCCACTTACCGACATCCTTCCGAATCCTGTAGAGAAGAAGATGTCCCTGTTTGGTTCCAACAAGAAGCCATTCCTCTGGGAAAGAAAAAAGAAAAGAGCTGTGAGAAACGCCAGTCAGCTTTTGTCAGACCCCCTTTCCTCATCTGGGGGTGGTGATCGGAATCAAAGGGTCAAGAAGTGAGTTGTGTCTTTTTGATGGCAGGTGTTTTGCAAAACTAAAGAATATTTATAGTCAAGAACTATTTGAGAATCAACCAATCAAAAAAACATTTATTCAACAATTACCAGGCAAGACATACCGTGTTTCCCCAAAAATAAGACATCCTCCGAAAATAAGACCTAGTGCAACTTTGGGAGAAAAAATTAATAGTATTAAAGGAAAAAATGCCCTGGCTTCATTGTTTCTAAATTAAACTGCCCTAAAACATCATGGAAATTTAAAAAATCATAAAATGGATAGTATAAATATGAAACTAAGTATCTAATCTCAGAAATAACAGCTAAAAGACATCCTTTGAAAGTTTCATGATTTAACCTTTGGGAAAATAAGAAGTGCTGTGGTATATTAAGGTTACAGAATTTGTTATCTCAAAAGATGGTCTAGTAGATATTAACGTGTTGATGAAGATGGGAATAACTGGCACCTTCAAACATTGTTGGCAGGAATATAAAATGGTGCAGTCACTTTGGAAAACTGTCTGGCAGTTCCTCGAAAGATTAAACATAAAGTAACTATGTAACCTAACAATTCCACCCTGGGCATATAAATAAGAGAAATGAAAACATACAACTACACAAAAACTTTTACACAAATGTTCATAGTAGCATCATTTGTAATAGCCAAAAGGTGGAAACAACCCAAGTGTCAATCACCTGATGAAGAGATAAACAAAATGTGGCATATCCATACAACGGAAATTAAGAAATGAAGTGCTGATACATGCTATATCAGGGATGAACTGGACATTATGCTAATGAAAGAAGCCAGACAAAAAGGGCAACATATTTTATGATTCTATTTATATGAAAAGTCCAGAATTAGGCAAGTCTGTGGGGACAGAAATTAGTGGTTGCCTAGGACTGGTGGGCTTGAGGGGAAATAAAGAATGAATACTAATGGGTTCGGACTTTCCTTTTAGGGTAATGAAAATGTTCTAAAATCAGCTGTGACGATACTTGCACAACTCTGTGAATGTACTACAAACCACTGAATTGTACATTTTAAATGGGTGAATTGTATGGTATGTGAATTACATCTCAATAAAGCTCTTGTTAAAAAAAGAGATGGTCGAGGCCCATGGTTCTAAAACTTTGGTGTGTATCAGAATCATGGGAGGCTTTGTGAAAGCACATTGCTGGGCCCTGACCTGCTTCTCTTTCAGTAGGTCTGGAAATGGCCCTGGAACTTGCATTCCTAAGAAGTTCCCAGGTGATGCTGACGTTGTTGGTTCAGAGGCCTCATGTGGGGAGACAGCGGTCTGTAGTAAAACTAGGGGCCCTGCAAGTGTTTAAATAATTACCCTGACAGATCTATATTAACTCATTAAAAGCAGCTAAGCACATACAGATACTTCCTCAGCTTTCTGATCTTGTAACAGGAATCAGTCATAAACTTTCTTGTTCCTTTGTAAAATAAAATACTGGATAATGGTACAAATGGACTAAGCATGCACTGTATTCCAGAAAATAGTGACACATACCAATAATGTTATTTCATCAATCCTCACGACTATCCTTTGAAATATGTCCTTTTTATAAATCCCCATTTTATAGATGAGGAAGTTGAAGCATTGGGGACAAGTGTTTGTCCAGAGTCACACATGTAGTAAGATATGCATGTGAGTCAGATATGCATGTGACCACATTCTGTGATGCACTTAATAAGGCGTCTCACAGCAAAAGACTGGGTGTTGGCCAGAGGCGGTCAGGAAGGCAGTGGTTATATTTATAAAAAACAAGTCAGGAGCAACCTGAGAACATTTTCCAGGTTGACGTCCTTAGTCTTGCAGAAAAAGAAAGTGATTCTGTCTTCTTTTATTATGCATTTTATTTATTTTTAATATTTTCATTGATTTCAGAGAAGGGAGAATAGACAGAAACATCAATGATGAGAGAGAATCACTGATAGGCTGCCTCCTGCACACCCCACACTGGGGATCAAGCCTGCAACCTAGGCATGTGCCCTGAGCAGGAATGGAACCATGACTTCCTGGTTCATAGGTCGATGCCAAACCACTGAGCCATGCTGGCTGGGCAAACACAGTGTGCTCTTAATGACATAAGTAGAAATCAGAAATAACACTAGTTCTATTGGAATGCTGGAGATTTATGTTGGAACAGAACATTCTATATAATAAAAGCCGAATATACTAAGTGCCCAGTCAACCAGTTGGCCATTCAACCAATGAATGCGTACAGTGCTTGCTTGCTTTGTAAAATATATTACTGTATGAGCAATTAGTAATATTAAAGTTGATTTTTAAGAAACCCACTGATATTTCAAATATAAATAAAATGAAGTGTGAATTTTTTTAAAAAAAATTCTTATAGCATAAATATCTATAACCAAAAGGCCAACATAATTCTTCCTCTTCACTATCCCCATTAACACCTGCCAGTTCTTGTTTTTCTTTCTCTCTTTTAACAGCCTCACCTTCCACCGGGTCTACAAGGCCTATTATGCTCCCTCTACAAGGTGCTCCCAACAGCTCTGTCTCATAGTCTCTCCAGGGACCCTTACAATAGATGGCCTCAACTGGTCTCACTCCACATGTTCTTCCATATGGATTACTTTATAGCAGATCTCTGATGCTGTTCCACTGGGGCTTAAGTTCTCATGAAGCTGCACCACTACAATATGAAGTCAAGCTCATAAGCATGGCATTTGAAAGCCCATTTTCCATTTTTTAAAACAATATTTATTTGCCATTAGATGGCTCTTACCAAATGTCTACTCTACTGGTCATCAAAAGGAGTCTGATAAGTTCACTGAAAAAAAAATTTTTTTTAATTTAATATGTTTTTATTGTTTTGAGAGACGGGGGGAGAGACGGAGAGAGTAACACTGATGAAAGAGAAACATTGATCACCTGCTTCCTTCACACCCTCCTACCTGGATGGAGCTCACAATCCCGGCATATGCCTTGGCAGTGAATTAAACCAGCACAGCAACCTTCTAGTGCATGGGACAATGCCAACCAACCAAGTCACACTAGCCAGGGCTGTTTTTAAATGAAATTTTATTTATTTGGAGGTGTTATGGAAAAATACCTTCATCTTACATGGAAAGTACTGTAACAATTTTCCTTTAAATAGTAAAAGCACTATATACATACTCATTCCTAGTCCTCAAAGTATAAGGGAAATGTAATAACAGTGCAGAACCTTGAAGAGGCTTAATTTGGTTACAGAAGTCAGTGGGGACTCAGGTGGCCAGAGGACCTGAGCCACATTGGGCCTTCACGTTCTATTGACATGTCGCCATGTAGCGAGAAACCCAGACCTGGCCGGCTCCACTCCTGTCAAGCCCCGCCGGGCAGCGGGCACGGCCTGAGATCCCCCACCCCAACCAGGCACCATGCAGCCTCAGGTCCCTGCTGTTTGGTCGTTACGTTATGGTGTCCCAACCAATTTACATATTCCTCTATTATTAGTATAGATGGAGTGAGACAATAATAATAATATATAAAATAGCATTAGATGACAATCCATGAAAGGAATGATAAGACTGAATAAGTGAATAGCATAATGATGGATATAGCATTCTCTTTTATACAGAATAGTTAGGGAAGGTCTTGCTGATTTATGTGACATTTCAGAGGAGACTTGAATGAAATAAGGAATGAGCCATGAAACATCTAAGACAAGAGAGTGCCAGGCAGAGGAAAGAGTGAGTGCCAAGACTCATGTCCTTGTCTTTTCATGGAACAAGAAAGACAGTGTGATTAGTACCAGACAGGTTCAGGGATAAGAGCCTAGGAAATAAAGTCAGGGAAGTAAAACCAGAAGCCTGACCATCTCAGGCATGGCCAGCCATGGTAAAGACTTTGGAACTTATTCTAATTGTTATGGGAAGCTACTGAAGGAGAAAAGAGGTGTAATTAGGTTAAGTTTTGGAAAGATCACTCTACCTCTATGTGGATAAAAAACTGAAAACAGCATAATGGCAAACACAGGGTGATCAGTCAGAAGACTTCCATAGTAATTCAGAGAGAGGATGGTGACCTCATCAAGAGTAGAAAAAATGGAGATGGAAAAAAATTACTGGAATATAGATTTATTCTGGAGGAGGAGCAGACAAGATTTGCTAATGGGATGAATGTGGTGTATAAGAGAAAAGAAGTCAAAAATAATTCCAAGGCTTTTGGCCTTAGCCAAGTAAACAGAAAAGGCATTTGCTGCGATGCGGGAAAGGCATGTTTTGGGAGAGTGTAATCATCAAGAATTTTCTGGCCATGTTACTAGACACCCAAAATGAAGATACTTAAAAGGCAGCTGGATTCCTCAACTCTGGAGTTTAGAGAGGTCACCATCATCAGTGCCCTCCTTATTCCCATTTCTGAAGAGAGAGGACGGTGTCGTGAGGACATCTTCTAGCTCAAATACCGTCTGGTCCTGCAAGTTCCTGGATGAACATCAGGTAAAAGCAGTAGCGGCTAGAAAGAGCAATACTGATTGCTGCTAAAGCCTGAAAATAAAGCAGTTTGGAGGCAAGAGGCAGTCAATGGCCTCCTGTAGCCCCTGCCACAACATCCTAGTAGGCAACAGGCGTATCTCCTGTTCAGTAGAAGATCAAGGCAAGTCCAAAGCTACCTACTGTTTCACACCTGTCTTCCTGAAAAGCACAGGTACAGGGAGGGAAACTTTACTGTGACAAAGTGCTGTTGGTGAGAGAGGCTGACATATGTTTTCTACTAGTTCCACAGGGTATCAGGGTCAAATTGTGACAAACTATTAAGTAGAGTGTGGTAAGCACCTACACCCATCCTTTTCAGAAGCATAAGTCCCAGGCAGGGTTGGGCAACCCTCCTCCATGTTTTCCTAATAAGCAGCATATGTCTCTGTTATCATTTATCTTGTATCATAATCTGCTTTATGTCTTTGTCCCCCACTGGGTGTCCTAGAAGCACAGGCACTGTGTCTTACTCTGCCTCATTGCTGTCCCTAGCAGAGAGACTGGTCTAAGTAGGCACTTCATACATATTTGATGAAGAAACAGGGGAATGAATCCTTGCGCAGTGCCAGGTCTTTCATTTTTAGAGTTTTAAATTTTTACGGAGCGCACTTAATGACAGGAAATGCTCGCAGGGCGAACAGCAGCCCTGGGCCTCTTTAAAATCGCAGAGGCAGCTTCTCTAGGACCGGCACCGGCTTGAATGCATCGTGCGTGGCGGCGAGCAGAGATTCGCCCTGACAGTGTCACTCTGAGAGGGCCGGGCCGGGCCGGGCCGGGAACAGAACCTTCTTGAGATATCTGGAGGAAGCAGGATTCTCTCCTTAACCCAAAGGACTAGGACTGCTTACCATGGAGATGTGATTTTAAAGAGGCCCAGGGCTGCTAAAGGCATTAACATGGGGATCTGTAGTGAAGAGGCTGTGGAGAACTCTGCAAAGCTGGCTGGGTGGTTCTGTCCACAGACGATGCATAAGATGCCAGCCACCATCAAGACTCCACCAGGCCCATCACGGGCAAGGCTGACTGGGTGGCACTGTCCATAAGATGATGCATAAAGTGCCAGCCACCACTGAGATTCCTACCGGGCCCTCAGTGTACGCTCTGATTAAGGGTTCTGAGCTACCTTTTGACAGTCCTTGATTTCTAGTACCTGGACATTAACAGGAAAAATGATTTCAGTTTGGTCTTTGGAGGCTGTTAGACACAACCAGTCATAATGTTCATAGTTAAGAGTCCAAGTTTGGACCGCTGAAATCTTTTTTACTCCAGAGTATGCAAGAGATCAGAGCTGTCTGGCCCTGTTTTCTGCACTGGCCACTCCCAAGAGGCTTATGCCAGTTTTTGTGGGTTAAATTTCAAGACAGCCTGGAATGATAAAGTACTACCTACAGAGTTAAGGTGACTTGGGCACCTGAATACAAAACAATGAACAATCTGACTAGATCGGCGATTTTCAACCCTTTTCATCTCACGGCACACAAATTACTAAAATTCTGCAGCATACCAAAAACTGTGGGATTTTTTTTTTTTTTTTTTTTTTTGCTGATCTGACCAAAAATGGGTACAATTTTTATTCATTCACTCCCGGACGGCTATTGTTGTGCTGGCTGTTCTCATTTTTTTAAATTATTTTTTTACAATCTAAGGGTAAAGAAAAGAGGTCGGTGCCCTTGACTAGATAGTCAGGTAGTGCATATTTTACAAATTCTTGTGGCACACTGGTTAGAAATCGCTGGGCTAGATTAAGAGTTTAAATAACAACGTGAGTTACCTACAATAATGAGAAGTGAACAATAAATGATCACTAAGGGGAAAATGGCATGCGGTGGTAACTTGTTCAAAACCCCCTCCTTCATCTCTCTTAACCCCCCACCCCCAACACACACTTATTCCCCCCAAACCAGTACAACACAATCACCAGATAAACCTGAAAACTTCCCACTGCTTGTGCCTCCAAACTAAAGACTTCTTGGGAATCGAAATGAGCCAAAGCCGAGCACCATTAAGGAAAACTCAACGTCCAGCTGTGCACCCAGAGCAAGTGCAGGCGGAACCTCCCTAAGATGCTGGGATCCCAGCGGTCGTCCTGAGAGTCCTCGCTGTCCTCAACGCTCTGCACTCCTTCACCCCAGTTTCCTTCGGGACGGCGTCCGGTCGGAGCCCGCAGAGCCAGGCGCCCGTCCGCGGCCCCAGGCTGGTGAAGGGTCCCGCGCTGCCCCCGCCTCGGCCCCGGTCCTCCGACTCACCCCAGGCAGCCAGGCAGTCAATCTGCAGAGGCAGCTTTTCCAGGATCGGCACCGGCTCGAAGGCGTCGTGCATGGCGGCGAGCAGAGATTCGCTCTGACAGCGTCACTCTGAGAGGACCGGCCGGGCCGGGCACAGAACCGAGAGCCGCGCTAAGGGAAAGGTTGAGCAGCACCTGGGGGTATAGACCCCGACTACAGGCCTTCTGGCTGCAGAGCCATCATCAACACCGGACTTCCTGCTGGCCTGGGCCCGCCCCTTCCGCCGCCGAAGCCCGCCCCTTCCGCCCTCTTTCTTAAACCACCTGTAAGGGCTGCACCAGAGCTTGGGTTCCAGTTTCACCCTTAGGCCTGGAGCTGTTCCCTGATGGAGTAGCCATGGGCTTGAAAAGGAGGGGAAATGATGGAATCTTCGAGCTGTAGTAGGAGGTATAGTGTGGTGGTGGAAGTATAGGGTTAGGAATTATAGAATTCGGGCTCTGGCGTCAGACCTGGGACGGAGGTCTGCCATTTAGGAAACTGGCTGTGGCATTTAAAAAAATTTGACCCCCCCCAAAGACTTAAATTTCCTTATGTGCAAAACGATGGCTTTTTGTACCTATCTAGCATTGTGAGCTCTTAGCAATGCTTGACACAGCACTCAATAAATGATAGTTTTAGTATTACCTTTATAATCACAGCCTTCCCCTTATATTTTAAATGTTCCAAGCAAGTGGTTCTCAAAGGGTGGGCTCTAGACTAGCAGCATTTGGGAACATGTTAGAAATGCAAAGTCTTGGGCCTCATTCCCGCCCTTCTTAATCAGAAACTCTTGAGTGGCAGAATGGAGGAGGGAATGCCCAGTAGTCTAATAGATTCCCCAAGGTGAGCCCACGCACTTGAAAGTTTGAGCAGCACAGCAATGATCAGTATCTGGCAATTTATCTCCAAGAAAACAGTAGGTATGTCATAAAATTTTGGTTTAAAGCAAAAACATAAAAGAAAAGAAGGATGAATCTATGATGAGTTAAAAACGGCCTGGTGACATTTTAATTTTACACAATCTGTTTCATGTAAATTAGAAATACTGTCTGATCTTTATCAAATGTTATTTTTGATAATCAATATTTTCAAATAAGAAATAAAAAAATTGCTAAACAAACCTTATGAGTCTGATTTTTACCATAGAAACTGAACACTTGCAAATTTAGAATTGCCAGTTGCTATACCAGGACCAAGGGCTAAGACTAAAATAAACAATATAAACTATAACAGGTCAGTGTGATACTATAAATTACTTCCGAATGCTTTCTTTAAAAAAAATGACTATACACCATCACATAAGAAGCCATAGAAAAAGAATTATCAGGTCCCAGGCTACATTCTGCTTAACAGGATAGTTTTGTGGGGATGAGGGTTCCCTGGTCTCAAGTTGAGCACAAACTTTCTATGTAGAACAAAACTCTTGGAAGGCAAAAGGAGACGAAACCATTAAAACAGAAATGAGTGCTTCAAATGAATCCTATCACCTTGTGATCTCTTTTTTAAAACCAGCCTCATAAAATATTTGACCAACAATCCTATTATTCACTCGCTAAGTTTTAGTATGGAAGAACAGAAGCAAATGACAATCATACTAGCCCTTTGTAATGGATTAATCTAAGAATATAGACAATTCCTAATATGGCTCCTTAAAGATATTGCCTTAGTGATTTAAAAACAAAAACAAAACACAGCCCTAGCCAATTTGGCTCAGTGGATAGAGTGTCAGACTGTGAACGGAAGGGTCCGGGTTTAATTCTGGTCAAGGGCACATGCCGGGGTTGTGGCTTCAATCCCCAGTAGGGGGGCATGCAGGAGACAGCCAATCAATGATTCTCATCACTGATGTTTCTGTCTCTCCTCTCCCTTCCTCTCTGAAATCAATAAAAATGTTTTTAAAAACACACCCTAAGCCCTAACCGGTTTGTATCAGTGGATAGAGTGCTGGACTGTGGACTGAAAAGGTCAATTCTGGTCAAGGGCGTTTACCTTCGTAGCGAGCACATCCCCAGTAGGAGGTGTGCAAAAGGCAACTAATCAGTGTTTCTCTCTCATTAATGTTTCTAACTCTCTATCCCTTTCTATTCCTCTCTGTAAAAAAATCAATAAAATATATATATTTAAAAATAAAATTAAAAATAAAAATAAAAACAGACCACAAACAGCTGTTACATAAATGTAAACACTTTCACTATAGTATTAGTTAGTGAAGATTGTGGTCATGTGGTTATTGGTTTCAACAAGAAGACGATATGGAATAAAAACCATGGAAGGAAAATCCTATAAGAGTTTGGGAGAAGAAAGCATTTTAGATAAAGTAAAAAAAGACAGAAAACACATTAATTTTGTTAAAATTTTTTATATTAAAAAATGGCATGAACTTTCTATGTAGAACAAAACTCTTTAAAGGCAAAAGTAGACAAACCATTAAAACAGAAATAGAGTGCTTCAAATGAATCCCATCACCTTGTGATGTCTCTTATAAATAGTCTCTAAACCCACACCAGATACAAGAACCATTTACCCTAAAGAATGAGCAGCAGTCCAGGGTCTCCACACTATTTCATGCAGCAAAACTTAAACCAGAAGGAATGGTCTCCTTTGTGTTAGTTCCTGCTTTTGAAGAATCAGAGTTTCTAACAGGGTGCTCATTCACAAGCACTTAGACAGAGTGCCTCGCTACATCTAGTGCAACACCCAGTAAATGAAGGCAAACAAAGCAATGTCTGGAGTCTGCAATGTTGCCTTGAGGCTTATAAAACAGTAGTGAAAAGTTCTGGAGTGTGCACCACATTGCCAGCAATGGGATGTGTCACAATAGCAGATGTCAAAAGAGTTAAGCTAATATTTTTCTCTAAAGTACATCTGAAATAGAAAAATCTTTAATATATACCATTTGTAAACAAAATTGCACTTGATTTTGCTTTTTAAAATGATCTGAATTACACTGTAACAGTTTCTTTCCCGCGCTCTCTCTCTCTCTCTCTCTCTTTTTTCCCTTTCTATCTTTTAATTATTGGTAGAACCATGGCTCAAGTCATAAGGACATTTTCCCTCAAAACTATCTCTGCAAGATGTAACCTTCGCTTCCCAGGAAACGGAAATATAATTAACAATTTCCCCATCACCTATGTAACTCCCTAAATAAATAAAAATTGCAGGCAGGTGCTCCTGGAGATTACATGTTATGGTGGTGATGTCACATTTTTTAAAAGATGTTGAACTTTTTAGTTTGACAGATTAAACAATTTAAACATCATAGAAGGTTCAGGAAGAACACACATAAGTTGCATCAGCATCCATGTCAAGGTGCGGGAGGGAATGGGGCATCAATGTTGTAAATAAGAAACTTGTAGAATTTTTTTATCCTATGAACATCATTCAATAAGATGTTCTAGTTCTGACACCTCTCGCCAGCTCCAATGCACAAAGATCAAGGAACAGATCAGGATGTCACTGCTCCTTTAATCCATGGAGCAGTGCAGAGGATTGACAGATGATCTCTTCCCAGGTGCTAGCATCTTCAACTGCACATCTTCCCACACTTTACTCCATTTTGGATCTTTCAAAATGTGTGATCATTCGTTCCTAGAGAAAAAAATAAAAAGGTTTGTTCAAAATACATTAATTTTAAATGGCCCACATTCCAAATATCCTCTATACCGATGAAGCCAACAGGCATTTCCTGCAAGTACTTATTTATGTCCATTAAATACTTCAGAGAGATGATTCCTAATCATTTATGAAGATTTTGAAAGATAGACATGTCCAGACCCCACACAAAATTAACCAGTCAAAATTTCTACGCCTCTGTACATCAAACCACAAATCAAAAGGAACTGCATGATTTTAGAGCCAATTAAGATGTTAAAACAACTATTTATTTACTTAAGATTAAACTTTAATATAAAAATATGTATCTCCTCTGATTTAGAATTAGGGATGTAGGCAAAAATTTTGTCACAAGAGTTTCTAATGCAAATCAGAATTACAATAAAATACTAGAAAGAATTAAGTGTCCAAAAATATAGAATTGTATAAACAAACTACAGTATCCTATCTAATAAGGAGGGAATATGCTAACTGACTGCCACACCCTTAAGATGGTGACAAGAGAGCGGTACCCAGTCCTCTCAGCCTCCAAGCCCTCCGCGGCCAGCCCGAGGCGCAGGCAACCCTCAGATGGCGGCTGCCCCGCTGCCCAGGGCCGGCCCAAGGCACAGGCAAGCCTCGGATAGTGGCTGCCCATCCGCCCAGGGCCAGCCTGAGGCGTAGGCAAGCCGCCGATGGTGGGTGCCTAGCCATCCAGGGTCACTCGAGGCTCAGGTAACCAGGGCCAGCTGAGGCTTGCGCTGCCAGCAGTGACAGTAGCAGAGGTGTGATGAGGTGTCGCCTTCCTCTGATTGCTGGGTTGCCTCCCGCCCCTGAGGGGGTAGGCCGGGATGAGGGACCCCTGCCTCCAGTGCATGAATTTTTCATGCACTGGGCCTCCAGTATCCTTATAAAGAAACTAGTGGTCCAGTGCACGAATCCATGCACGAGTAGCTCACTGCTGCTTGCCTCAGCTGCCCACCCTGCCCACCGCCACTCATGTAGCTCTCTGCCACTCATAGCTTGCTGCCCCTCCCCTCCATAGCTCTCTGCCACTCATAGCTCACTGCCTCGGCCCCCCGCCCCCCGTAGCTATCCACTGCTTGTAGCTCGCTGCCTCCTCCTCCTGATCAGTTGTTATGTGACAGCATCCTGACCAATTTGCAAATTACCCTATTATAAGTATAAACTATACTCACTAAAATTACATTAATGAAAACATCTAGAGATGTGTTGCACAAGAATGCACATATACTTAACACTTTGCATTTGAGAACTGTTAATATGGTCATTTTATTTGTTCTTCACCATGATTTTTTGGTGTGCTCAAAAGGCTTCCTGAAACCAAAAGACTCTAATCCAATATTCAGAACGTGTCCAGAACTAGTTCCCATTAACTCAGGCAATTATTGTGAAGCCATACAATTATTGTGAATTGTATGGAAGCATATTAAGATTAAAAAT